CAGCACTCAAGAGGCAGAGGCAGGTGGATCTCTGTGAGATTGAGGCCAGCCTGGTAAACATAGTGAGTTCCAGGACAGCTGGGATTACAGGGAGACCGTGTCTCAAAAAGACCAAAAAAAAAGTTGCTGGGAATACAGCAATTAAATACAGAAACAAAAACAAGTGTATAATTGAGCTGATCACATGAACAAAGTATTGGCATCTGGGTGTGCATGGTGGCCGAGTCCTTTCTTGGTCTTAGTCCAGTTTATTTCCAAATTGTGGTCTGTGTATCAAGACGGAGAATGTTCTCACTCACAGCTGCTTAGCACGAAAGTGGTCGGACTATTTATTATGATTATTTTTTATGTTACCCCTTTTATTTAAAAAAAAAAAAAATCAAGCCTTTTGCCATGCTGCATGTCTAGAATTCCAACATTTGGAAGGAAGAGGCAGAAGGATCAGGAGTTAAAGGTCATCCATAGATACATAGTCAATTTGAGGCCAGATTGGGCTACGTGAGACCCTGTCTCAACACCACCCCCAATCAGAATGAAAACAAACCCCTCTGAGTACATTTCAAATAAACAGCTGTAAGAAAGCTTTATTCTGGGATTGAAGTGTAGCTCAGTTGGTAGAGTGCTTACGTAGGGTTAGCAGAACCCTAGGTTTGACCATCAACACTGCATAAACCAGGCATGGTGCACATAAAATAATCCAGTGGTGGTGCGTGTTTGTAATCCCAGTGCTGGAAGGGCATAGACAGGCCCATCATCGGGGTGTGCTGGCTGGCCAGCTCACCTGCATGGTGAGTTCCAGGCCCGTGAGAGGTCTCAAAGTTTGATGGTGTCTGAGACTGACACGAGTTTATCTTCTGGTGCACAGACACACGTGTGTACACAGACTTCAAAACTAAATTTTGTGGATCTGTAGCCTTCTAAAGCACCTTGGAGGAAGACTTGCTCACAAAAAAAGCAAGTGCTAGGGCCGAGGAGTGGTGTGCCCCTGGAATCCCAGGTACTTGAGGCAGGAGGATGCTTGAGTCCAGGAGTTTGAGCACAGCTTGGACAACATGGCAAGCCCATCTAGGGAAAAGAAAAAGTGTAGGCTGCTTCCTGCTCAGGAGTACTGAACACTGGGCACATCATGCTGATGCTGCTGGGGGCTAATTTTAGAAACAAGGTTTTACAGATTTTGACAAAAGGGAAGCACCACTGCAAAGCCAATGGCTCTGGCCAGACCAGCCTCCTGTTGCTGTGCCAGGCTGGCCTATGGTATCTCTTGGATCTCTCCTGGCAAGGGGGGCTATGGTGACTCTTGGTGCCAGGATGGGTTTGCCATCCTCATCAGAGAGACTGTATTAGTTCACACCGTGGCTTTTTGCCCCTGTACTGAGTATGAGAGCCAGGGTTCTTGGTCATTTCTATTTCTGTTCCACTGCATTCTTTTTAAAAAGTAGTTTCCAGGGGTGCTGGAGAGACAGACGGCGCAGTGGTTAGGAGCCTGGGCTGCTCTTGCAGAGGATGCAGATTCAGTACCCTGCACCCACATGAAGGACTGAAACCATCTTATAACTGCTGTTCCAGGGGATCCGATGTCCTGGCCTCAGCAGGCATTTGCACACACGTGCTGCACTTACATGCATGCTAGCATAAGACCCATACACATAAAATAAAAATAAATCAAGAAATTAAATTTTTGTGTGTGTGTTTTTTTGAGACAGGGTCTCCCTGTAGCCCCAGCTGTCCTGGAACTCAGGAACTCACTATGTAGACCAGGCTGGCCTTGAACTCACAGAGATCCGCCTGCCTCTGCCTCCCCAGTGCTGGGACTAAAGGTGTGCGCCACCACGCCCGGCTTATTTTTAATCATTTAGGATGTAATGGCATGTGGCCTTGTTAACTGATTCATTATTAAATCCATAAAGGCAAGGTTCAGTGCCCTCAGGATTTACTTTTGTAGCTGGGACTATTGGTAACGAAAAGGTAACTCTTAACAGTCATTCTTCTTTCAGATGAATGGAAAAGAATCAGAAGAAGAAAATCTCAATAAATCAGAAATAAGTCAAGTCTTTGAGATTGCACTGAAACGGAACTTGCCTGTGAATTTTGAGGTAAGCTTATTTTACATGTAGGAATTTCTCTTTCAAAAAATTGTTAGGGGGCTGGAGAGATGGCTCAGCAATTAAGTGTACTGACTGCTCTTGCAGAGGACCTAGGTTCAAAGCACCCACACCCAGCACCCACATGGTAGCTAACAACTGTTTGTAATTCCAGTCCAGGGAATTCGATACCTACCCTCTTTTGCCCTCCTTGGGCATTGCATGACAGGGTGCACTTGCATATTTGCACGCAATACAAAAAATTGTTAGGATAAAAAAAATTGTTAGGATTCATTATAGGATCAATGCTTCTCTTAAATACTCAAATTTAAAAAATGCTCAAATAATAACTCATATAATGTGACCCTCCATACTTAAGACTCAGACCTTACACTTGGCAAAGCAGTGCTTATTTTTTTCTTTTGCAATCCTTACTTTTGGGGTAGCTGTGGACCCCTAGCTGTGCCTTGGTTCCTTACACGGGCACCTAGGAGAGAGCATCTGTCACGTCACCACTCTGGAAAGCAAGTTGAACCTCCAGGATACTATGGCTGTTCTTAAGTGTGGTGTCAGTTGGACTTTTGTGACAAATACCTGAAAGAAATAAGAAGAAGGTGTGTCTTTTTTCAGAGACTTCAGTGCATGGGTGGCTGGCTCCATTGGTGTGAGGCCTGTGGAGAAGCAGAAACTTGGAAAAAGGGGGAAAGGCCATGGTAGAGGAAAGCTGCTCACCTTGTGACAGCCAGGAAGCAAAGAGCAGTGCCAGGAGGGGCCAGAGCCAAGATGAACCCCTTAAAGGAATGCCTCCAGCTTACCCCCTCCGACATCCCCACCCCTACCCCAGCTTCTCACTTTCCAAGTCCTCTGTTCAGATTTTGAATCCATCAGTGAGTTAAAAATACTGATTAGATCAGAGCCCTCATCTCTGGAAAGTTCCTGACAAACACCTAGAGTTTTCTGCTGGAGATGGTGCTACGTACACCCCAGACAAGCTGATGGGCAGACTGACAGCATAGTGGTCTCCCCAAGTCTTGCCAGGGTTGTTTAGGAAAGAACTTGGGTTTGCTATTTCCAAGTTACACTTTTAATATCATTTGTTGGAGATTTGATGTTCTAAAAACAATAATTAATGGGCTGTTTGTTCAAAATGGAAAATAAAGTACATTTTAGTACATTTCCTTTACAGACAGCATAGTCCAGTCGACTAAGAAAGGGAAGGAAGAGTTTAAAAATCCCCTTGTGATTTATCACATGGCAGATTCTTTCTCTTTTTTCTTTTCTTTTTTTTTTTTGAGACAGGGTCTCCCTGTAGCCCCAGCTGTCCTGGAACTCACTATGTAGACCAGGCTGGCCTCGAACTGACAAAGATCCACCCACCTCTGCCTCCCGAGTGCTGGGATTAAAGGCGTGCGCCACCACGCCCAGCCAGATTCTTTCTTTTTAATTCCATGTTGATGAGAGTTTTGTTGTTATTGTTGTGGCTGACCTCAAACTCCCTGTGTAGCCAAGAGTGACCCTGAACTCCTTTTCTTCCTGTCTCAGTATTCCTAGGGCTGGGATTACAGGCATGCGCCACCTTGCCTGGTTTATGCAGTGCTGGGGATGGACCTTAGGGTTGTGCGCGTGTTAGGCAGGTGCTCTGCCACTTCAGGCACAGCCTCAACTCTGAAATTTTATTCTTATCTCGTGTGTGTGTGTGTGTGTGTGTGTGTGTGTGTGTGTGTGTGTGTGTGTGTGTGTGTGTGTGTCTCCATCTGTGTGTGTGTGTGTGTGTGTGTGTCTCTCCATCTACCATGTCAGTCCCAGGGATCAAACTCAGGTTGTCAGGCATGATGGCAAGCTGTGAGCCATCTTGCAAAGCCAAAGAAACCGTTTTCTTTCTTTTTAAAAAAATTATTGTCATATGTGCACAAGTGTGCCACAGTTATGGGTGAGGTCAGAGGACAACTTTGTTGAGTCAGTTCTCTCCTTCCATCTTTAGAAGGGTTGCGGGGATCGAACCTCGGTCTTCAGGCTTGCATGGCAAGTGCTTTATGCACTGAGCCATCCCACTGGCCCACCTTGTTTTCCTGAGACGGATCTCTCACAGAGACCTTGGGCTCCCAGGTTTAGCTAGGTTGGCCAGCCAGTGAGCCCCAGAGATCTCCTGTTTCTCCCTCCCTGGCACTGGGCCCACAAGTATGCGCCACCTTGTCCTGCTTTTCTACATGAAAGCTGGGGGTCAAACTCAAGGTCCCATTGTGCATTCTGAAAGCATGTGGCTATGACCTGACTTGTGGGTTACTCAGCTGGCGTACAGGCTGCCACTGAGGAGCTCATGTTAGGTGTTAACAGGAGGGCAGGGCATACAAGTTTAGCTAGCAAGGGTGGTGGTGCTGAGTGATGGTCACTGGAGGCATCTCTTCCAGGTTCACACCAAGGATTGCTCAGGTCATGCTTCTGATTTAGTAGATGGTACAAACTGCTGCTGAGGGCCAGGTGGGATTAGAGTGAGCTGGTGGTGGCACTCAGGTTTGATCTGAGCCATGGGAAGGCCACTCACACTAGACTGCAGTCTGGGCCCCTATAGGGTGAAGCAGGTTGGGTCCCCTCAGCCTGACAGCTGTTTCTTGGGCATACTTTGTTTCCTGGACATTATTTTCAATTTTCAAACATGCCAAGCTTAACAGAAAAGTTTTAAGAACAGGACCTTGAACATGCTGTTCGCTCACATTCCCTGGTGACTGACACCTCACTGCATCCGCTTTTCTTCCTCTGGAAGCATGTGGCACCCGAGTGTTAGCTTCTATTCTGACAAGTTGCATGAGAATGCTGGTCAGATGTGATGCCCCAGATTCTGGGGATTGGAGCAACGACTTTGAGCCCCATCCCATTATTAAATCCAGGATCTGAGCATTATTCTCATGTGTCATCACACATGCCCTCTACTCACACTCTGCCCACTCTCCACAAGTGGTCATGTCTGTTTTGGTGTCCGGCCCCGGGCCTTGCTTTCAGCCGGCCCTTCCCATCTCCTCACCTGTGACAGTCCTCAACCTTTCTTTGTGTTCGACATTGTTGGCTTGTTCTGAGGCCAGTTTGTAGAGTGGCTCTCATCCTGCATGAGTTTTGGCAGGGTCACCACAAAATGTCGATCCTCAAAGTATCATGTGACATCACCTACTGTCCAGTGTAGGGAATTCAGAACTTCATGCACTGCTTTTTGGGCTCCCTGCCAGAGGGCATTTGGGAGACCCTTGGCAGTTGTGCCCTCATTGTTCCCAGGGTTCCTGTTGTCTGGCAGTCATTGAAGAGGCTGACCAGCATCATCTTGGGGTTGAGGGGCTGTAGTCAAAATGACAGTCCTGAATTTCCAAGCTGCTATTCTAGTGTAAACACAAACTTTCCTCTCCCCTCCTACCTGACATTAATGCTGTCTGTACTAACTTGTGTCTGTACAGATGCCTTCTGCTCTTCAGAATTTAGGTCTCACCCACTGCTGGCAGCGCTCATTTCAGAGCTCAGTTTGTCCCTGCTGGCCCTGGTGCCTGCTGGTGTGTCTCATCAAGTGTTTTTTGGCAGGGTTGTTATGAAACAGGGTCTCGTGTATCTCGGGCTGGCTGTGAACTCCTATGTAGCTGAAGATGACCTTGAACTTCTGAATCTCTTTACCTCCTGAGTGTAGCCCCTGTTACAGTCAAGACATAGAAGGTGTTTTAACTCTGAAAAGTTCCCTGTGTCTGTCTCAATCCCTTCTATTCTCACTTTCTGTCAACCACTGACATGAATTCTGTCCCTATAGGCTACAAGTTCAAGGTACACAGTGAGACCCTATCTCAAAAAAACAAAAGTCCGTGCATGGTGGCATACATCTTTTAATCCCGGCACTTGGGAGGCAGAGGCAGGCAGACCTCTATGAAATTGAGGCCAGCCTGGTCTACGTAGTGATTTCCCGGCCACCTGGGACTATAAGGAGACCCCACCACAAACAAACAAACAAACAAAACCAAAATCAACAGTGAGGCCCCCAGCATCCTCGAGGGCACAGGTGTTCTCTGGTGAGCTTCCTTGCCCGCACAGTCAGTGAGATCAGTGCCTGACCCGAGTTGTCATTCTCTGCTCTGAGGAGGTTCATTCTAGCCTTCAGCACTGGTACGTTTTGAGAAGACACTGATGAGTACCTGGGGAGGGGCTCTGGGTCTCACCTTCCTGCACAACTTGTTGGAGACAGTGCTTTCCTGTTCCATTGTCTGCATACCTCTTCCTTCAGATTCCAGAACTTAAGTTTCTGGTGTAGTGGACGGCTCGACCTTACTCTATCTAGACTTCCCTGCTCAGCCATTTCTCCAAGCAGACTTGGTTTATTGTTGTAGGCATGGCATGTGGAGACAAGGCGACAGGCTGTATGTGCTAGCTGCTGCTAGGGAACTCTTGTTCCAGGCCCTTTTAGCAGACCATGTGAGGAAAGATGTCTGTCTGTAAGACAACATGTTTATAGCTCTAACTTGATTCTCACACCACAGGGTCCTGCCCCTCTGTTCTGTCTTCTTTCTGGGAAATGGACCCCAGAACCTCAAGTGTGCTGAGTCATCACTGCCACTCAGTCACACCCAACCCCATTCCATATTTGAGCCTCCTTTTTCCCTTCCTATGGCTCAGGCGGCCAGTGACATCAGAATGTTCCTGTACCACCAACCACAGATCCCTGAAAAAAGATGCCTTTGCACTGTTTTACTTTTCCAGAGCAGGTCTGCCATCAGGTGTAGTATTCCAGTGTTCCTTCTCCCCCACCTGATCATAGATTGAAGTAAAGTTTATCTACTGTAAAGTTCAAGGCCAGCCTAGTCTACAAAGTGAGTCCCAGGCCAGCTGGGGCTCCAGGGAGACCCTACCCTCTCTCAAAAAAAAAAAAATCCCTCAACTTATAGGTTGAGCATGGTGGCACACTGGTGTGTTGGTCTCTAACACTTGTTCTTCTGGTGTCTGCCTGCTGCGGGCTGTGCCCAGTTGTCATCCCCCTTCCTCATTGTGACATTTGGACTTTTTTAGCCATACCTCCCCCCTTTAAACATTTAGAACAAAATTATTCCAAGTTAAAACTGTGAAAGATAACACTCACATCTTGTCCAATCTCTGCCCTGAGTCCTCCCACCACTGCAGGTGTCAGTGGTTCTGTGTTACCCTCTGCAGACCGGGGTGGGTGAGCACCCAGCTGTCCCTTTCTTTAGTATCTGAACAATGTCTGTAGACTTCACTCACTTGCTAGCAGAGCTGCGCTCCTGCAGTGGAGCTCTTTATTGACCCAGCGCCGAAAGCCACCCTGGCAGCAGCTTGTCGGACTTAGAGCTTTTTCCCTTCCCTCCTCTCCCTCTCCCTTCTCTTTACAGCTGCACGGCAGCCAGTGTTTACTAAGCTCTCTTTCAGCCAAAGGTTCAGATGGATAATGAACTTGAACTCTGTGCTGCAGTTGCTTCTGGGCTATGTTGGGCCTGCTTCCCTCGAGGCAGCTGCAGTTGGCCACACTGAAGATGGGCCATTATGGCAGGAAGCATGGTGGCCAGTCTCACAGTTCCTTAGTGATTGCTTGTCTCCTCAGACTCAAGAGCATAACTGAGGGCCATCCAGACAGCTCAGTGGGTCAAGGCACTTGCCGCCATCCCTGTGACCCACATGGTAGAAGGAGAGAACTGACTCTTGAAAGTTGTTCTCTGACCTCAGGGGAGTGCTATATAGTGAGGCTCCATCTTAATAGGTCTGTCATAAAGCAGTTTGGGAACGGGGAGCTCTGAGTTCTCTCTTCCCTTTGACACACTTCGTTCATTAACCCGTCATCAGAGTCCCTTCATCTGCGGTTTTTTGAAGCGACTGTGCCAACCAGTGTGCCCCATCACTTTAAACAAGTGTCTGTCACGCTTTCACTCAGTCTTTCCCTCTGACACAGGTGGCCCGGGAGAGTGGCCCGCCCCACATGAAGAACTTTGTGACCAGGGTTTCAGTTGGGGAATTTGTAGGGGAAGGTGAAGGGAAGAGCAAGAAAATTTCAAAGAAGAATGCAGCCAGGGCTGTGCTGGAGGAGCTGAGGAAGCTGCCACCTCTGCCCACAGTGGAGCGAGTGAAGCCCAGAATCAAGAAGAAAAGCAAACCCACAGGCAAGGTGAGAGCCCTTCTTCCAGCAGCCACCTATTGCTACCAGGGCAGTAGTTGGCTTAGAAGCCTGGTTGCTGTCCAGTGCCACATGCCAGACATAGTAGACCCTTTATCAGTACCATACAGGTTGAGTAAAAGTAAGGACACTGGGACTGGCGAGATGGCTCAGTGGTTAAGAGCACTGGGCTGTTCTTACAGAAGACCCAGGTTCGAATCCCAGCACAGACATGGCAATTAACAATGGTCCATAACTCCAGTTCCAGGGGATCCAACATCGCCTTCTGATCTCCTTGGGAATCGCACAGCACAGGTGATTTACACATACACAGGCAATACACTTATACAAAGTAAAAGTAATTTAAAAGACTGACACTTAAGTCTTGTCTGCTGCCTTCTGCTGACCTTGAGATTAGCTGGGTCCCTTCTGTTAGTGACATGACTACATTTTGTTCCTCAGCTGCAGACAGGCCCAGAATATGGCCAAGGAATGAACCCCATCAGCAGACTGGCTCAGATCCAACAGGCCAAAAAGGAGAAGGAGCCGGAATACATGCTCCTCACAGAGCGAGGCCTCCCTCGCCGCAGGGAGTTTGTGATGCAGGTGGGTTGGTTCTCTTCTGTTGGGTCGCACCGCCACCAAACACTGCAGCAGTGTGAAGATTGAGCCACACGCCGCTGTCTGCATACAGGGTGCAGCCCTGCTGACAGGCAGTGGGGCATCTTGTGTGGAGTCAGAAGAGCACTGATGCTGGGGCTGAGTGACCTTTTCCTCACGTCCCTCCTGAGAGGTTTAGGATGCTGTTCGTTATAAGAGCTCAGTTTGCCAAGAACTGTCAGCATTTTGCCTGTGCTCCTCCCAACCCTGCTGCTAGATCCTGGAATCCATGTGGGCCACTTGGATTACAGTAACCTTTAGGTTGGGGTGGAATGGGTCGCCTGGTAATTAGTTTACTTAGCAGTTCACAGATATCTTGGGTTACTGTGATCTGCATTTTCAAATGTTTTTCAGGGAAAACAGAATACAGTAGGTCTTGCATCCAAAGCTTTGCTCTCCAGAGTTTCTTACGTATAGTCAGATGAGGTTTGAAAATATCAAATGGAAAATTCTAGAAAAAAACAGCTCATATTTTTAGCTGTGCACCATCTTGAATTGTGTAATGGAATCTCCAACCTTCTGCTCCATCCACTGGAACGTGGAATGTCCTGTTGTCCCTGTGTGCGTGCTACATACTACCTGTTCAGTAGTCACTTGACAGCCACTTTGCAGGGCAGGTCAGCTGTGTTTGAGAAACATAGTGTGCTCGCTATTCTCTGGGTTTCAGGCACCCTCAGGTCTTGGAGCATCCAGTAGATAAGGGACTCAGTTTTTCACCCTGTGTAGCAGTTTTCAATTGATGGAAGCATCCCCTGTTCTTTCCCACTCAAAAGGTAGGAAAGTGATGATCCATTCTGTAAGTGGAATTTGGGCGAGTGACATGCCTGAGAAATGGGAAAGTGATGATCCATTCTGTAAGTGGAATTTGGGCCAATGATATGCCTGAGAAGTGGCCAGCCCTCAGTCACTCTCCACAGGCTGGGGAAGGTTTTCTTTGACTCCTTCAGTCTTGTGACATGAGCTTTTGGTTTTAGCAGCCAGGTGCCTTTGGTCAAGAACAACTGTAATGTAGTATGCTGGAACTTTTCAGCAAACAGCCCTTAAGGAGGAGGGCTCCACTGAATAGATCCAGGCATGTACAAGAGAGAGGGAGACGCATACACACACACCCAGACTTTTTATAAATGTATTGATAGGAGGGCTGAAGAGATGGCTCAGCGGTTAAGAGCACTGGCTGCTCTGTAGAGAACCTGGATTCAATTCCTAGCACCTACATGGTGGCTAACAACCTTCCATAACTCCAGTTCCAGGGAATCTGATGCCCTCTTCTGACCTCCGTAAGCATTGCATGACATGAGTGCACTTAACACACCTGCAGGCAATACGCTCATACACATAAAATAAAAAAATATATAAATAGGATTGTGACACACAAATTACATGTAATATTCTCTACTGTAGGGTTATTTTTATTTTTTTTTAAACTTTAAAAAAAATGTATTTTATGTGTATGCATCTATTGCCTGCATGTAGGTAAGTGCACCTATGTCGTGCAGTGCCCGAGGAAGACAGAAGAGGCTGTTGGATGCCCTGGGACTGGAGTTACGGACAGTTGTTAGCTGCCATGTGGGTGCTGGGATTCGAACCCAGATCTTCTGCAAGAACAACCAGTGTTCTTAACTGCTGAACCATCTCTCCAGCTCCTGTTTTGTTTCTTGAGACGTTCTCTCCATAGCCCCAGCTGGCCTGGAACTCTCCGGTCTCAGAGGTCCACCTACCTCTGCCTCCCTGTGCTGGGGTTAAAGGTGTGTGCCACTATGCCAGGACTCCATTGTACGTCTTATACATCCCTAATTGGACTGTCACCAATGATAGTGTTACAGAATTAGATAGCACGTGATGCTTTTACCATCCATTTTAGCAAAGTTGTTCCTGTCACTGACAGTCTGTGGTATAGAGTTGAGGATTTGGTTCTGGCATGGAAACGAGCTGGTAGTTTGTTAGCATCAACACTTAAAGTGGAAGTTGAAGCAGCAGACATCTAAATGCTGTTTCGAAGCTATGTGCCATTTCTGTGCTGGCGGACCTTTGTGACCTCTGTGACTAGTTGCACCTCCATGGCTGTGTGCCTTATTGATTGTAAACCTCATCTGCACTCCTAACCTTTTCTCTGGAATTTGAGGACTTCTTTCCTGGGATATTTACAGTTATTTCAGGCCAATTTCAAATTGTCGACTTAAAATGACATCTGACCACAGAGTTGGGTGTGCAGTGTCCCGCAGTCATATACAGAACTGTCCACTCTATGAGTGTAATGGATGGTCAGGTGAGTATTGAGTACTCAGTGTGTCTGTGTTAATATAACTGAATGTTTGATGGGGGCCATGTTCCAACAGCCAGCTCAGTGGAGCACCTTGTGAAGCTGCCTGGCCCTCAGCGTCTCTGGGGTCTTTGGCAGCATGCCTTCCCTGCCTGGTCTTCAGTAGGTTTAAGCACGAGTGTGCTGACTGCTGTCCACAGGTCAAAGTTGGGAACCACACTGCAGAAGGAGCAGGCACCAACAAGAAGGTGGCCAAGCGCAACGCCGCAGAGAACATGCTGGAGATCCTGGGGTTCAAAGTCCCACAGGCGCAGCCCACCAAGCCAGCGCTCAAGTCAGAGGAGAAGGTGACTGCTGGGACTCTCCCTGCCAGGTGGCCTAGCTCCCTGCAGGGGCAAGCCTGGGGCAAGGCTTCATCCTCCTGGCAGTAAGCAGCCTGCCCCCTGGGGCTCATCTGATTGGAGATTAGTGTTTGTAGGAGGGAGTTTGCTTGTCCCATTCATCTGGCCCCCAGTGTGGCTGGGGTTAAGTCTCCCCTGTTTTAGTATCCTTATGAGCTGGGTGCTCTAGAGGGCATCCTGTTCTCCCCCTCTGATGGGCAGTTGGGGGTTGGAATGAACAAGTATGATTCTCATCTGTGCCCAAAGGGGCTTGTGGGACACAGCCCCTCTACTCCTATGGGGCAAGTAGATACTTCATTCGGATTGAAATTCTTTTCTCCTGTGAACTGGTAGTTGAATGTATTCCCATGCTGAGAACTCAGCTATGCAAGTCAGCAGACTTGGTGAGAACCTCAGCTTCCTGTCCTGGTGCCAGCTGCCGTGCTGCTGGAATAGACTATAGTAGCACTGGGCCTCTCCCAAGGGCTGTTAGGCCCATTCCTGAGAAACAGCTGTAGCTGCAAAGTCTACCCAAGACCCAGCCACTCATGAGCTTGGTGTTCGTACTCCCGTCCCCAGGCGTCTTTCCCTTGTTAAATCTCAAAAAGATGTTGAGTGTGATAAAATTATTGCCGCAGGCGCCCCCCCCCCCAGGTTTTTTGCTGAGTGTTACTTCTAGGTTCAGTTCTGGGTAAAATACTTGACTGGTTAGCTTCATGCAGACTCCACTTTCCTTGGAGTCCACAGACTGGGGTGAGCTCTTCCACGCCAGCTGCTTCTCCTGGCCAAGTGCCTTCTGGTGTTGAGCACAGAACTCTGTGCTCATGGGGATCTGCTCCATGTAAATGCCCTGATATGGACAGGTTTCATTTTGCCTGACTGGTGGGGGTCACGTGGTAGGCTTTGTGTTACAGGTAGCACATGTACACCACAACAGCTTGTTCGTGCTCATGACTTTTTCTTTTTTAAGACCCCAGTAAAGAAACCAGGTGACGGAAGAAAAGTAACGTTTTTTGAACCTAGTGTTGGAGATGAAAATGGAACTAGTAAGTGTGATGTTTGCATCATCCTGACCAGTGTGGTCTGGGTCTACATGGTACCTGTGGGACAATACACAGCCTGGTAGCTGCTGCCTTCTTGGAGCTTTGTGTGTGGGGTGGTAGAAGAGTGACATGGGGTTCCCAGCATTATGGCATCTTGGGTGGTTGAGCTGTGTGTGTCCCTCTTCAGGTAATAAAGAGGATGAGTTCAGGATGCCTTATCTTAGCCATCAGCAGCTGCCAGCTGGAATCCTTCCCATGGTGCCAGAGGTTGCCCAAGCAGTTGGAGTTAGCCAAGGACATCACACCAAAGATTTCACCAGGGTGGCTCCAAATCCTGCCAAGGCCACGGTAACTGCCATGATAGCCCGAGAGTTGTTGTATGGGGGCACCTCGCCCACAGCCGAGACCATTTTAAAGAGTAACATCTCTTCAGGCCACGTACCCCACGGACCTCTCACAAGACCCTCTGAGCAACTGGACTATCTTTCCAGAGTCCAGGGATTCCAGGTAACTGTTAGGCCAGAGCTGGGAGGCTCTTCCTTGGTCAGGTTATCTTTCAGTTCCCTTCATAAAATGAACTTCTACGCCATATTTTAAAACTAAAGCAGGGTTCTTTCTGAGGATGGTGCTCAGGGTAGAGTACCTTCCTAGTATGTGTAAGGCTCTGGGTTCAGTCCCCAGAACTGACAGACTCAACCCCGAACAGATCAGATGCTTTGTCTAGATGACTGGATGGTGCAAATGGTGGTGGCAGTGTGGGCTGGGCTTGGCCAGGGGAGGACAGCTAGATGTCTTACCTAGGCACCTGCTGCCAAGCCTGATAACCCCAGTTTGATTCCTGGTACTCAGGTGGCAGAAAAGAGAACTCCATGAGTTGTCCATGTTTGCCCCCACCCCCACTAAGTTAATGTCAAAAGAATGATAGGCCTGCAGAGACAGAGGGAATCCTTTTCCCTATCCCTAAGGAAACTCCCACATGGTAGCTCCTGACCACCTTAACTTCAGTTCCAGGGGCTCTGACCTCTCTTTTGCCTCTGTCGGCAACAGCCACACACATGGGGTGTGCATGTGTAGAGGCAAACATGTATGCAACTAAATCTCAAAACCCCAAACCCGAGCCCACACACCTTTTGGAGTAGAAGAGCAGATGCTGGCTGGATGTGCGGAGCTTCTTGGAGCTGGAGAATCTGGGTCAGGGCCTGAGCAGCAGGCTGGGTGCTTGCTGGCCGGAGTTCGTCCCCTGCCCAGCCTCAGTGCGCTTCCCTCCTTTAGGTTGAATACAAAGACTTCCCCAAGAACAACAAGAATGAGTTTGTGTCTCTCATCAATTGCTCCTCTCAGCCACCCCTCATCAGCCATGGAATTGGCAAAGATGTGGAGTCCTGTCACGATATGGTACGTGGGCCCTGGGGGTGGTGAGAGGAGTCGGTTGGTATGTGGCCTGTTCCCTTGCCCAGCAGGTTAGTGGCCTCAAAGAGAGGCAGGGTTAGGTGCTTTCTACAGCTGCCATTCAGTCCTTGCTTTGGACAGAAAGGTTTGGACTGTTTACAGGGCCTTGTAGGAAGCCCCTTGTTTGGGTTTTGTTTAGGTGAGATTGTTACTAGAGTGAGCAGATCAGAGCTGTGGCACACCCTCAGTGGAAGACCATACCCCCATCAAGTTGACATTTGAAGATAAGAAAAGCCTGTCTGAGAGCAGGATAGTTTACCAAGTTTACCATCAGGTGAAAAATAAATGAGAAAGAAGTTGTGATTTAGTGTGGTAACTGGATTCTTATGGTTTTTTGGGGGCTTGGGGGGATCTTTTTTGAGGCAGGGTCTCCCAGTGGCCCCAGTAGGCATGGAACACTATGTAGACCAGGCTGCCCTCCATTTCATGGAGGTCTGCCTGCCTCTCCCTCTCACGTGCTGGGATTAAAGGCGTGTGCCAGTAATTTTTTTAAATTTATGCTTTACATTAAAATTTCAAACATCTTACCTGGTGGGTCCAGAATTTTAAGTTGCCGGGTATCCCCTTCCTTCCTCATTAGTGTGGTCTGTTCCTTGGGGTTTGACTTTTCTTTCCATCCCACTAGGCTGCGCTTAACATTTTAAAATTGCTGTCTGAGTTGGACCAACAGAGTACAGAGATGCCAAGAACAGGAAATGGACCAGCATCAGCGTGAGTAGCTCATATAAAAGGCTGTCAGTGTGGGTGAACGGGGGGTCTAAGGAAGGTGTCTGCAATAGGTGCTTCCTCCATGCCGTTCATGCCCACTGTTGAGCTGGGGAAAACTTGCCTTGCCCCCTCTCCAGGTGTGCTCAGCTTCGGGTTCAGTTTACAGTGAGAAGAACAGGCTTTAGAACAATTGCAGTCCACCACCCCCCACCCCCTCAGGTTATGTCTCATAACTGTCCCATTTTTCCTGTGAAACAAACAGGAAAATCTCTTCTTCGTTCCGTGTTTGTGCTGTTGAGAATTGAGCCCATGGTCTCCGGGCACGCTGTGCTCTACCCCTCAGCTGTGCTCCCAGCCCACCCTGGTTTTAAGACGGTGCACACGCCCTCCTTGCTTTCTTCTTGTGTCCAGCGATGACGACTAGAATTGAGTCACCATATAATGGGCCCCATGTGGACAGACTTCATTTTTAATGTTAAAGTTAAAATTTTCTTTCAAAACTGGTGCCATTTTCATCTTTTCTTCTTTAAAGGTGTGGGAGGTGCTGAACCTATGCTGAACCACTATAAAATCCCAATATACTGAATATACTGAAAACTTTGAAAATTTGGAATTTCTGATACCTCCAGAGGCTGGGACATGGTGGATAAGAGGGAGTCAGCAGTGATGAAGATGACCGGACTCCAGGCAGTGGCCATGATCATTTGGGGCTGCTAGTGACAGTTTCTGCCAGCCTGCATCCCACTAGGAGCAGCGGCTGGGGGAGCTGTCTGCCCATCAGCCTGGCTCCATGGGAGACCAGCACCTCGTTTTGTTTTTTTGTTTTTTTTTAATGATTTGCTCTGTGAAGAGAAACAGAAGGCATGACCCATCTTCAGAGTGACACACAAGACACTCTGGGACATCCCTGGACAGCACACCAGAGAGAGGCCTTAGACCGGCCCCAGAGCTCAAAACACCAGAGAAAATCCAATGCTTCCTACTCTGCGTCACTAACTCGGTGCGCTCTGGCCCGCCTCAGCAGTACCCACCGTAACCACTGCTTTCTCTTCCAACAGTGACGCCTCTTGTTAGCTTTGTTTTTTTGATTGAGATGACACTATATAAAATTTCCATTTCAGTTTCTCAGTTATCTAGTTATATTGCAGTTTAGAAACTTGTCCGAGACCAACACCATCAGTAATCTAACCGGCAACGATCATAGCCCTATGCCTGCGATTACTCATTTCTGTTGTGCCAGACTAACCCAGGACTGTTAACAGCGACAGCGCTGTGTGTCTCTGGCTTGGCTGGAACAGTTCTGGACTTCTCAGAAACCTTGACGTCTCCCACCGTTGTATAAATAGGACAGCTTAGGAATTTTAAACTTTAGGTTTAAAAAAATATTTGGTCTTTTTCTATTTAGTTTTTAACAGCAGACTTAAGCAAATGAACAATTATAGAAATTGTGTCTACCCACACGTCTCTTGAGGATGCCACCTGTGTGTGGGCCTGGAAGCCCGCAGGCTGGCATCCCTGGAGTGTTCCATGCCATCAACACCTCCATGGAGGGAAGCAAGCAGGTGCTCTGGTGTGGCGTGCACACATGCATGAGCTCAGCACTGCTTCCACTCATGGATTACGCTGGAACCTTTTCCCCCATGGAATGTAAGTAAACAGTGTTTGTCATCAATAAATGGTAATACTAAATTTTTTTTGTTAATTTATTTTCCAATGCCACTACTGCTAGGTTGGTTCCCCTCTGAGACATCCCTTCCCTTTTTTAAAGAAGAAATTTGTAATGCTTGTGATTCCATCTGGGCAAAAATCTAAAGATCTGAACTATCTTTATATCAAACGTTGATCAATAAACAGCTACTAATGAATTTTTTGGTGCTGTTGAACATTAACTGAAAAGGTGGCTTTGTGAAGGAGGGAAAGCAGTAGCTCTGTGAAGGGCTGCCTCATGGGCAGGTGGTAAAGTCTAACAGGGTTTCATTTAAAGGCAGCATGTAGGTCTGGCTGTGGAATTTATGCAGAAGAAAACCCAGCATTTGAGGATGAATGTAATGAAATCCCAAGATATTTTGTTTTCAAAACAAAAACAACCTTGCTTGCCACTGGATCCCTTTGAAGCTCCCAGAAGGGTGGTGATGGGCTTGGGCAGTGGTAACTGGAATTCCTCTATCCTGTGGTGTGTGTTTTGGGGGTTTTGACTTCATAAACATTACACAGATCAGCCAAGCAAGATGGGTTTACATCTACTGCCTTGAACGAGTTAAAAGTACGACAGCAAAAACCAGCTCTAATCTGCTAAATTTCTCAGACTTAAAATACTAAATAAACATAGCCTCCTTCATTACTTCTGGGGGGGCGGGGTTGAGACAGCTGGCCTGAACTTGCTACGGTAGACCAGGCTGACCTCGAACTCGAGTTCCAAGGCTCTACTCAAAGTGCATGCAGACATCACTTCCCCAGCACCACTTGTTGAAAACTGCTTCTGCCCACTGAATGGTTTTGGCCCCCTTGCCAAAAATCATGTGACTACCTTTAGGGTCTAGGTTCTCTAGTCTGTTTCCTGGGTCTGTGTCTTCATGCAAGGACGAGCCAAAGCTCAGTCAGAAGCATGAATCTAGGACATCTCAATCCTAGGTAGCAAGTAGAGACCACACCATGTGCTCTGCCCCCTGGCTATTGTTTCAGGTGATGCTATGTCTGGAACCCAAGGGTGTATGTACACATTGTCTCTGTTTAAAAGTCACATTTGAGGGCTGGAGAGATGGCTCAGCAGGTAAGAGCACTGACTGCTCTTGCACAGGACCTGGGTTCGAGTCATAGCACCCACATGGGTGCACTCACATACATGCAGGCAATACAGTCATACACGTAATAAAACACATTTGAGCAGGGCGTGGTGGTGCACACCTTTAATCCTAGCATTCACGAGGCAGAGGTAGGCAGATCTCTGAGTTCCAGGCCAGCCTGGTCTACACAGTGAGTTCCAGGCCAGCCTGGTCTACACAGTGAGTTCCAGGCCAGCTGGGGCTACAGGGAGACTGTGTCTCAAAAGGACCCCCCCCCCAAAGTCACATGCACTGATGCCTCCAGATCTTGCATTGTTCTTCAAAGCCTTAATACAGTCAGCACTGGGCAAAATTCTCAAGAATAAAGATTTTTGTAGCATGCTTATCAACTACATATGTTGTGTTTTGATGGTGTTCACTCCGGATTACCCTGCTGTTCTCTCCCACTCACAGTTCTCTGAATCCTCAACTAGTTGCTGTTCTACTTTCAGATCTTTTGTGGGGGTGGCATCGACCCAGTGAGTTTTACTACAGGAGTACAGGCCCCTCACCTATGCCATGCAGAAAACCTCTAGTCTTCCCCAGCCACCATTATCCTGTAGACAGATCCGTAGGGAGCCAGAGAGGCCTCTGAGCCCTTCCTCTTCCATGCAACAGGACCCAGTCTCCTCCAGGGTGTCAGAGCTGCTGAAGACGGTGTTCCAGTCCCCTCTCCTCCAGCTCTTAGAAGTCTCTGCCATGATAGTCTCATGCAACACTTCATTCTTGTCTGATCCTCCATCTATTTTAGTAGATACACAGTTCTATGCAGATGTTTATTTCTTAGTGGAAGGAAAGGACTGGCACCTTCAAGTTGTCCTCAGACTCCACACATACTTTGTAGTCTGTATATACATACACACAAATAAAAATTGTAAAAAAAAAAAAAAAAAAAAAAAATTCAGGGGCTAGAGGGCTCAGCATTTAAAAGCACTGACTTCTTCCAGAGCACCCAGGTTCACTTCCCAGTACACATCTCTTGAGGAAGTAAAGTGTGGCCAGAGAGATGGCAAGGGCACTCGCCACCAAGTCACAACTTTTAAGTTCCATCTCAGGCAGAGCTGTCCCGAACCCCATGCATGCACCATAAACAGACATGCATCCACAAAATATACACAGAAGCCGGGCATGGTGGCTCCCACCTTTACTCCTAGCACTTGGGAGGCAGAAGCAGGCAGATCTCTGTAAGTTCCAGTCCAGCCTGGTCTACATAGTTCCAGGACAGCTGGGGCTACAGAGAGACCCTGCCTCAAAAAAAAAAAAGACAACAGGTAAATGAACTTGAAGACAGAGAAAGGAAACAAAAGAGTGCAGTGGTGAGGGAGATGTATTAGTGTTGTCAATCACACGCCTGCTGGTAATCATTTGCCAGTTACCCTTGAAAGATAAAAAATATAAACTCATCTGTGAGTTCCATGCCAGCTGTCTCAAAAAAAAAAAAAAAAAAGGTCCACTGAAGAATGTATAGGTAGAGTGCTCATAGAACTCACAGGAGGTGACTCACAACATCCTGTAACTCCAATTCCAGGGGATTCAATACCCAATTTATGGTCTCAGCAGGCACCTCCACACACCCATGTGGTGCATATAAATCCACAAAAGAACACAACATACAAATTAATAAAAACTCTTTTTTGGTCTTTTTGAGGCAGGGTCTTCCTATAGCCCCAGCTGGCCTCGAACTCTGAGAGATCCACCTGCCTCTGCCTCCTGAGTACTGAGATTAAAGGAGTGTGCCATCATGCCCAGCTAATAAAAAGTTTTTTAAAATGGTAGAGAAGGGGCTGGAGAGTTGGCTTAGCAGTTCTTTCAAAGGACCCAAGTTCAGTTCCCAGCACCCACATGGCAACTAACAACCATTTCCAGGGTATCTGATGCCCTCTTCTGACCTCTGTGGGTACTGCACAGCACAGGTACAGTTACACACATGCAGGCAATTACTCTCACATACATGATATAGAAATAATATATTTTTTTAAAGAATTGGGTATCTTAATTCTTCTTTTTTTGTCTTGAGACAGGGTCTCCTTGTAGCCCCAACTGCGTGCCTCTGCCTCCTGAGTGCTAGGATTAAAGGTGTGCGTCACTTTGCCTGGCTTAGTGCATTTCTTGAACATAAACGCTACTTCACAGGCCCAGCCCAAAAAGGGAGTTGGGCACCATACACTTCTGAGGCTGGCCCAGGCCTCCAAGCTCCAAGCTGACTGGTGGTTAGTCTGCAAAAGGAAGACTGGGAAGTTTCTGCACTTACTGCAACTTCCTGACCTCGGGCCTGTGAATAAATCTGAGCAGCCTCACTCAGTGGGAACTGCTACAAGTTCTTAAAGACAAACCCCAAATCTGTATTAGTGCCTGCTTCTCCCTTAAGAAAAAAAGACAACAGAAAGATCAATCTGAGTTTGAATAATTTAGAAATTAGAATTTTTATGGAGTGCAAAGGGGAAAAGGGAGGTTTAAAAGAAATCCTTCATTTTTACAAAAGTATCAGAAAGCACTAGAAACCCACCCTTAAGATGCTCTTAGATACACATTTTGAGGTTTTTAAATTGCTGACTACAGATTTGACTGTGAAATGTGCACTACTTAGCAAGTTAGCAAGTGATTCTTTACTTTTTCACATTTCAATAAAAGCTCAAAGAAACAGACAAAAGTACAAAGGACAAGAGAAATCTGAATGCCAACAGCTTCAAAACAAAAGGATTTAATAACAATAGTCATCTCCACACTGTCTGCCAAATATCTGAAATTATCCAAACCGTGCAAATGCTCAACGCAAACCAGTGCCACACACTGCACTGTTAGTAAGAGTCCTGTGAAGTTGCAGACTAGAAAATTACCCACTTATACTGATGATTTTTACATAAACCACCTAATTTGCTCAAGGTTCAGCTTAAAGCAATATTTACTCTCCTTTGTAAGATGGAGTTTGTGACAAGTTCAAAAGGTTGAAAACTTGCTTGGTTTCAGCCAGTCAGGAAGATGCAGTTCACAATAATGTCACACTGGCGGCCTGGAGGTAGCCTTGGAGATACTGCAGTGCTTCTGCATTGAGGCTGGTGCTTACCATTGAGGGAACCTACAGGAGAAGGAAACCAAATGGCACTGGAGGGTCTCATGCACCCACAAACCCAGCCTATATGGAGCAGCCAGTATCAGGAAGGGGAGGCAGTCACTGGTTCCTCTAAGGGAGGTCCAAGTAATTCAACTGACTTAGTAGTACCTTCAAAATAGGTAAGTTCGGGTCAGGGCAAGTAAGAAGAGGTACTTGTGGGTAGATACTTCCCACCAAGTCTGACTAGATCTGAGTTTGATCTCCAGGCCCCACACCATACAGTGGCACAAGAGAACTGACTCCTGCAGGTTGTCCTCTACATGTATGTTGTAGCATGGAGAGTACATAAGTGCATACGTGCACGTGTGTGTACACACACACACACACACAAGAATGAAAGGCAGGCAGGGTAGGTCTAAAAAGTAGATCCAAAGGCTGTGGAGATAGTTCCATCAGTAAAATGTTACGAACACTAAGAACTAAGTTTGGCCCCCAGAATCCTTGTAAAACCTAGCACATGTTTGTAATTGCTGTGGTTCATTTTAAAATAAACTTTTTGTGTTGTTAGTTTATATTTGGTTTCTTTGGGACAGGATCCTGATATGTAGCCCAAGATGGCCTCAAACATATAGCAATCTGCCTATCTCAGGTGGGATTAAAGGCATACACCACTATGCTGGGCAAAAGAACCTTTACTGGCTAATTAGGTGTTTATACATACTTATTCTGCAATTCTCTACAACCAAAACGAAAAAAACACAAAGATCATAAAACGTTAATCATTACAGCTATGTGTGCCAGTGTGTCATGCTGCTTCTGTGTGTGAAAAATAAAAACTGTCAGCAAAAATCTGTAGAACACTAGTTAATGCAATTAAAAGCCAGTATTAGAAAGAATCCATGATCTCATTATGCTGCAATTTTAAAAAAAGTTCATTTTTTAAAAAGTAAGCTCTACATAAACTCAGTGGGACCCAATGTGATTATGCATGCTGACTAATGAAAACAGGCGAGACGGTGTGATGGTCTCTGTCTGGCTCTCTAATGAATCAGAGTCCAAAACATATATACTTACCCTTCCTGGACAGGCAGTAGACAATTTGTGAAGTGACTGGGCCAGGTGGATTTTGGGATTGTTCACCATCTGACCTACAGGGTCATGCTCCTTTTTCCCAGCAAACGCCAACTGTGAAAAGGCAGTCTGGTACCCTGGCGCATCTTCTATGTCAATGAAATGTTCTTCATCAGGAATGCTGTCATCTTCAGGCAACTCAAAAAGGCCAATCAGAGACTGTAACAAAGGAGTCCTGGATTGGAAAAAAAGAGACAGAAAGCTTAGAAAATTATTTTAAAGAGTCAAACAAAGCCACATCTTTAGTCCTCCCAGCACTCAGGAGGCAGAGGTAGGAAGATCTCTGTGAGTTCAAGGTCAGCCTGGTCTACACACTGCGTTCCAGGCCAGCTGGGGCTACAGGAGACCTTATCTCAAAAAGGCAAAAAAACAAAAAAATCACATGCACCTTTAATCCCAACACTCAGGAGGCAGAGGCAGGTGTTTTCAAGGCCAGCCTGGTCTACATAGGGAGTTCTAGGCCAGTCAGGGATACATGGTGAGATCTTGTCTCAAAAAATACAGTAAGAAAGAAAAAAAAACAAAGAAGCCAGGCATGGCAGCTTGTGCCTAAAATCCCAGAGGTGGAAGCATGAAGATTGCCACACATTTACATACAGCCTGCCTGTGCTATATAAAAATTCCAGACCACCCTCAACTACATAGTGACACTGTGCCTTAAAAACAATGGCTGAGGAGATGCTTCAGTGGATAAAGTGCCTGCTCTGTAAGCCTGAGAACCAGAGTTTGAATCCCTAGAATCCACACAAAAGTCGAGCAGGCATGGCACCTTTGGTGGAACCAGTGAGACCGTGCCTCGATAAAGTGTAGAGTGATCAACGAAGACATCCCATGCCAACTTTGCATCATGTGCGCATGTACCCACACAAATGTAAATAACGAAAAACAAAACGTAACAAAAAATAATCCCCCCGAAACAAAACCAGGTGTGATACGGCATATGCCACTAATCCAGCACACTCAGGAAGTAGAGCAAGAGTGTTATCACTAGAGATGGTGTAAAGCAGACTCTTAAAGGGGTCTATGAACTAAATTAAGAATAAAAGCACAAGGCTGATGCAGTCTGAAGGCCGTCGTAGGACTATTATGAGTTGAGTGAGGCCTGCTAGGCTCCAGTATGAGACCCTGAAATAAGCCCACTCCCCAAACCTCTAAGAGCACAGCAGAAAGTCCCTTTTCCAGGCCTAGAAGGGTCTCCAAATTATGTTTGGGATCTGCTGGCTGCTAGTGGGGAAGCCAAGATCAGAACGCAATTGTCTTGCCCCACCTTCACCACCAAACCCTGTACAAGGGAGCACTCACCACAGCTTGGTATACTCAGTGTCCATCATTGGAGGACACTCTGTAAGTAGTTTGGTTATGCCAACTGCACAGATCTTTTTCTCCACATTTCCAGATACTTTCTGAATTTCTGGAATAATGATTTTTTCCAAAACCATTCCAAACATCCTATTAATGAAAGCAGAGTGAATCTACTTAGTATTAGACAAACAGTATCATTAAACAGTTAAATGCTTAAATGTTACTTATAATTAATGACCCCATATGAATGTAATAACTGAAACAAGGATGCTATTAGTCAGATGAAGAGATCGAGGTAATAAAGGTGGGGAAAAAAAGCTCCCTTGAATCCTCTGCCTTCAGGTCAACTGGAACAACTTTTTTTTTTTTTTAATTATTTTTATTTTATGTGTATGAGTGTATCGCCTGCATGTATGTGAGTGCACCAGTGTCGTGCAATGCTGCAGAGGTCAAAAGAGGGCTTCGGATTCCCCTGGAACTGGAGTTAAGGATGGTTTGTGGCCGCCATGTAGGTGCTGAGAATCGAACCCGGGTCCTCTGCAAGAGCAGTCAGTGCTCTCAACTGCTGAGCCATCTCTCCAGCTCCTGGAACGACTTTTCTAAATATACAGCTACCCTGTTACTAAAAATCTGACCCCAACTCCAGATTTATTTTCATTAAAAAAAAATTTTTGTTATTTTATGTGTATGTGTGCAATGCCTGCATGTAGGTAAGTGCACCCCTGTCGTGCAATGCCCGAGGAGGACAGAAAAGGCTGCCGGACCCCCTGGGACTGGAGTTACAGACAGTTGTTAGCTGCCATGTGGGTGCTAGGATGCGAACCCAGGTCTTCTGCAAAAACAGCCAGTGTTCTTAACCGCTGAGCCATCTCTCCAGCCCCAATTTATTTTCATTTTATACACCATGTGTGTACAGTGCCCACAGAGGCATGAAGAGGGTGTTGCATCCAGTGGAAATGGAGTTACAGGTGACTGCTAGCCACCATGTGGTGTTGGAAACTGAACCCAGGTCCTCTGCAAGAGCAGCCAGTGCTTTTAACTGATGAGCATCTCTGCAGTCCCTACAAGCTTATACTTAAGCAAAATCTGTGCATCTATTTTGGGGGGTGGGGAGAAGGCTATTTTTTTTTAAAAAGTTACTCCCATATATCTCTTTAAACCAAGGTAAACTTTTCACCTCAGAGGGAAAAAAAAAAAGTTACTCCCAAATTGTCAAAGAAGAAATTTAGTAAGAAAAAAGTTGCTCAAGTAATTTTTGAAAATATAGAAACTAGGTAAGATGTGCTTTGAATGAGAATGTCCACAATAGGTTCTGAGTATTTAAACACGTTGCCTCTAATTCTCTGGAGGAGGTGTAGCCTTGCTGGAGGAAACAAACCACAGGGGTAGGCTACAGCCTTGCCCCATTGAGTTCCCTCTCTCTCCTTCCTGTGAGTCCTTAAGGATGTAAGCTCTGTTTTCTGCTTCAACCGCCTCTGCCGCTATGCCTCCCTGCCACAATGGACTTTTATCCATCTGGAACCGTAAGCCCCTGTAAGCGGCCTGGTCATGGTGCTTTATCACAGCAACAGAAAAGCAACTAATTAACAAGAACAAGAAGGTAAAAGAATCAAAACCCAAAACCCAGCTACCATCTGGCAGTAACTAGTTTTAAACATTTCTGCATTATAAACTTCCCATCTTTTCTTTCTTTGCTTAGACACCCCCAAGTATGTAAATGCTAATGGCTTGTTTTTTAATATTTTATTTATTATTTTTATTTTGATGTGTATGCATGTATTGCCTGCATGTAGGTAGGTGCACCTATGTCGTGCAATGCCTGTGGAGGACAGAAGAGGCTATTGGATCCCCTGGAACTAGAGTTACAGGCAGTTGTTAGCTGCCATGTGGGTGCTGGGATTCAAACCCGGGTCTTCTCCAAGAACAACCAGTGTTCTTAACTGCTGAGCCATCTCTCCAGACCCTCTAATGGCTTGTTTTAATGATTTGATCAGTCCTTATTTATAAGTTATCACCAAAATCCTAGAAGTAAAGTTTTCCACAATTCTAAATGATATAAAATCTTTACTCTTTATATTTTAATAATAAATATCTTGATGTGTAGAAGGTAGATCAAAGGTGGTCCTTTTCTGTCTGGATCAAGAGTACACAGGTCTTGTTCACTGGGAGGAAGATGCCAAATTTGGCAGGGCACATGGGTTCCTCCCCAAATGCCCACTCCTGGAAATTGTGCTTTCTTGTACTGCTTTCCCAGCTAATTTATTTCTGATGTTAACTGGAATGTTTGTGGATCTAATTCAGGTATAGGGACCAGCTGCTTCCACAGAACTTTTTCTCCTCAGAGCTTTCCTCTACCATTTTGTTAACTTTCCATTGCCCAAATAAGGGGGAACATGACCTAAACACATTCTTTGTGCAAATACTACATAAGTCAGAAGGGAAGTTCAATCAGCCCCAACTTCCTCATATGCAAATAGGTTGCAGCCACACTCCTGTTACTGCAAAGCCTGCTGGCCCTTAGTGTACACAATAGAACATTCTTTCCGAGGGAAAAAAAATCTTGCCCTTGGCCTTAACAATGGTGTACTTCTGGAGACAACACTAATCATCTGAGAGAAGGCAACACTGACTGAGCAGAGAATGCCACAAGGCAGAGAAACTCCAGAAAATGACCATGAGATTTTTCTACATGTAAGAATGCTTTTGCCGGACGTGGTGGCAGAGGCAGGCAGATCTCTGAGTTCAAGGCCAGCGTGGTCTACACAGTGAGATCTGGGCCAGCTGGAGCTACTGGGAGACCCTGTCTCAATTGAAAAAAAAAAAAAGACCGAAAAAAAAAATGCTTTTAAGGCCACAGAAATACTATCCCCAAACCAAAAAGCACACAATGACAGAAACTGGATATTAAAAGAGGCCAAACATTTTCTTTTTTAAAACAACAACAAAAAAACACAACTTACTTTGGTTGTATACCATCAAATATTTCTTGTAATGCCAGTGCTCCATACTTTATGCAATACAAATTAATAAACACTAAGAAACCTGTTGGAAGAAGATGCAGAGTATCAATAGAGGCGACATTAAACTGATAATTCACTTTAAGTCTGTCAGGGAAATCTACATATCATGAAAACCGAACAGTGATGCTGCATCTGAGACTCTCAACGAGGAGCCACTGTCTCTGTGCTGAAGAGCTTTCCATACATTCTCTGATTTAGACCTTTAAAAAAAAAAATTTATTTTATGTATATGAGTGTTCCACTGGCATGTATGTAAGGGCACCCATGTATGCAATGCCGGGGGGCGGGGGGGAGGGGGTAATATTAGATCCCCTGGAGTTACAGGTAGTTGTTAGCCACCATGTGGGTGATGGGAACTAAGCCCGGGTCCTCTGGAAGAGCAGTCAGCGCTCTGAAGCCCACGGTCTTTCCGTTATACTCCTCCTATAGAAAAAGTGTTTTGTTATTCTAAATTTACACAAAACTTTGGCACATAATATAGTTGAAACCAAGTTAGTGCTTAGAGAACACAAATATCTTCAGATATTTTATATTTGTAACATTTATATCTGGTAAAGGCTTGCATGTAGCCATAATATCAAAAGTTTTAGTGACTTTCATTCCTTATTTCTGTAAAACACATCTCCAAGTGATGTACTCACTCTTGATAAACTTTGTGGTTTTGGAATTCTGAAGTCTCTGGAATAGTAGAATGAAGATTTGTTTCCTGTATTGGTCAACTGACTCCCTGAGGCATTGAACAGAAGCAAACATATCAATTCAGTACTTCCACAAGTAAACAACAAAATATTTATTTCAATGCACAGAAGGTTAAATGGGACTCACGGAGGCATGTGCTCTATTATACTGTTGAGAAGATAAAAACCTTGGTGATCATTTGCTTTGGATGCGATTAGCTTCTGGAAGACACCCAGTAACCCAGGCTGCAACAAATCAGATAAAAAATAGTTAAAGGAGAGGTGGGGATTAATTATTTTAGAAGTTAAACAGGCAACCCCTATCCTTTAAAAGGATTCCTACTGAACACTCTAAGCCTTTTTTTCTCTTTAGCACTTATGTATGGACTGATTGAGGCAGCATCTAATGTAGCTCAGGCTACATGTAGCCAAAGATGACCTTAAAACTTCTCATCTGCCTCCATACCCCCATAGCTGGGATCTCAGATGCAATGCATCCAACTCTCTTTAGCTCACATTTCTGAAATGTAGGGGGATGGGGCAGTGACAGACAACCTCTCACCCAATAAGCTATTTAACTTTTAAGTCTTTGGGATTCACCTACTTGGTTCTTATTTTCTACCACAGATAGAAGAGCAACCAAATGGAAACCAATATATTGAGTACATCACCATTCTTACTCATTCTCATTTATTGGATTTAATTAAAGAAAAATGAAATACCTTCCCATCCCTAGTTTCTCCAAACTACCCTGGGAAATTATAGTTATTTAAAAAGAAATCCAACTCACAATCTTGTCAGCTGCAGCACTTGCTATGGCATTTGAGCCCCGCTCTAAGAATGCCTGGAGCAGTCTCACTAGAGCAGGAATATTTCCTGTTCTTTCCCAAAGCACTGGCTGAAGGAGGTGAGGAAATAAGGCCATATATGAAGAAGACGGGATGTCAGTTTTGTGTGTTTCCAGGAGCAAAGACATCACTTGAAAGACATATGGGATGAATTCTGTTAAAATTTAAAAAAAGAGCTGTCAGCTTTGGCATGAATGGCTCTGGCACACCAGGCCTCTTGCTCTGACAGGCAGTGTTTTTGTTTTTTTTTTTTCTGGTCTTTTGGAGACAGGGTCTCCCTGTAGCACCAGCTGGCCTTGAACTCCCACAGATCCACCACCATGCCCGGCCTCAGGCAGTGTGTTTTATAACCACCATTAACAGTTTCATCCCACAGGAAGGAAAAAAACTTCTGCTAGCTTACCTTGTACATCATTTTGTAAGATTTCAGTAAACACTAGAAACAGAGCCTCCTCAAAATTTACAACAGCAGCAGGGTTAGCTTTGCAGGTTATTCTTATAGATAAGCATATTGCTTCAAACATGTAGTGATTAAAATGAGGTTTGCTGGGATTCTGAAATTATAAAAACAACAAAAGCACCACCTCGTTAATCATCCAAGTAACTATATTAAATATCACCTAAAGCAAACAAAATACACCCAGTCCTTCTAAAATTCATTTAAAATAGATGTCATCTAATTTTTAAAAATCAGCATTAAGGAAGAAAAAAATTATAACTAAACCATGGCTTCTTTTGTTGGGGGTGGAGGAGGGGGATAGATAGTGCTGGGATGAAACCCAAGGATTTACACATGCTAGGTTAGTCCTTTACCATTTAGTTCAATTACTCACATTCGTGTTTGGATTGTTTTTAAGGGCAAAGGCAATGATTACAAAAGCTTCACATCCCGCATCTACGGGAATGGCCTTGAACTCACTGCCCAGGAGAGCCATCGCTGTAGGTAGTGGGTGAAGCATGTGTTTAAGCCCAGACACAAGCTGGCTCTGCTCAGCCTTAGAGCCTGTGGGAGTGGTTGTGTGTACAGGACGTTCATCCTCCACAACAGCAGTTTTCCAGTTTCTATTTAATCAGTAACATTTTATGTTCTTTGAACAAAAACTCTTGAAAAGCAGGCACAGCAAACTGGCCAAAGCATGAAAGTGTATGAATGTACATGGAGACAGATGACCCTGCTTTCTTCTCCCTCCATTCTCCAAGGCCCAAAGCAGTTATGTACCAAGATTCCAGGTGGAAAATAAACCTGCTGTTAAAATCCCTCCAATATATTTTTTTTTCTGTCTTTTTGAGACAGGGTCTCCCTATAGACCATGCTGGCCTTAAACTCACAGAGATCTGCCTGCCTCTACCTCCCAAGTGCTGGGATTAAAGGCATGCACCACCACACCCCTCCAAAACTTCTTAAATTCAAATCATCTATAGTTAAAAGCACGCATCTGTAAAGAAGCTGTCATCCTTAAACTTACTTTTATTTCTAAAATTCAGCATCCATATTTATATATGAATCAAAATATCTGCAAAACTGTTCATCAGTGACAGGCATGGTGGTGCACACCTTTAATCCCAGCACTCAGGAAGCAGAGGCAGGCAGATCCCTGTGAATTCCAGGCCAGTCTGGGGCTACAGGGAAACCCTGTTTCAGAAAACCAAAGTTAGCCAAAGTAAGGGACATAAGGCTAAGGAAGAAGAGATACAAGTCTGTCATTTCATAGATGTACAAATAGCCTTTCTGTTCATTTGCACAGAGCTTATCTTATTCTATTTAAAACAAATTTTGGATTGTCTGCTCTTTCTTAATTTCTTATAGTGAATATGTCAAATTTGTAATGAGAACATAACATGTAGTCGGGCTTCTGAGCCTACACTTAAAAAGATGACAGCTGGTACATTCCCAACAATCAGTATCCTCACTTTTATAAAAGCATACCAGCTGGGGGTCCGAAGACTGCACAGACCCCCTTGCCTACTGCCAAAGGACTTATCATTTGCAGCAAGTTAAAGAGCAAACTCATGCAAGATGGCTCAGCAGGTAAAGGCACTTGCTGCCAAGCCTGACAACCTGAGTTCCAGCCCCAGGACCTACATGATCGAAGCACAGAGAGAACCAACTCCTTCAAGTTGTCCTGACCTCATGTACCACAGCATGAGTGTATCTACATCTACACACACAAAATAAAGGTTTTGTTTTTTAAAAACAAAAAAACAAGCTCATTTTCTTAACTGTTACCTTACTAACAGCTAACAGCTTCTGTGTGAGCTGAGTGATCAGAGTAGGGATATAGGGGATTATGGCTTCTTGTAGGAGGGAGAAGCTTCTCATGATAGCTGTAAAATACAAAAACAGCACAAACAGTTTATTTAATCTTTAGAATAAAACAGTAATGGGGGAGAGGCTATTAATTCATCAAATAAAATTTTAGCTGCTTAAATATCCCCAGATACCTTTCTATGTTTGAAATAATAGAAGTTTCCCTTCCCTTTATATCAAGACAAGGGTTGGCAACAAAATTTAGCTGGAGAATGCTAAACGCCTCTAGAAAAACGAAGGTTTAAAGAATTTGAGAAGAGATAATAAAAAATATTCGAGAAGAGATAATTAAAAATAACTAGATAACTAAAGAAGCAGGCACAGAGAAAGGTGCAGTGGTGTGGTAGGGCAGAGCACCAAAGGATCTACCTTCGGTTTCTCATTTCAAAATTACTGGCAGAAAATGGCTTGCCATAGTCTAGAAGAAATTTGATCTGGGCCTACATGAAACTTAAAGGAAAAGCCAGCTACTTATCACTCCCTTAATCAGATTATAAGCCTATGACAAGAAAGAAGTGCTAAAATGACATATAAAGCCAGAATCCATATTGCAAAAACGCTGCTCATTAACAGGTACCTAAAAACATTTGGCATGGGAGAGGCATATATTTGTAAGTTATGATTATTATCTTTGCAAACATTTACTAACCAGCACAGCTACCATATGCCAGGCACAATGGAGAGAAAGCTCACTTCCCTTGCCTCCAAGATGTACACAAAGTGTTTCCTCTACAAATACATCTCAACACACTGCTGCCTCTCTGACATCAAGGCTTAGAGAAAGCCTTTCCTGACCTAAGTTAAGGCAATTAGAGGATGGGTTAGTAGCGTACACCCTTTGGGTTAATGACCCCTTTCATTCACATATATGACAGGATTTACAGAGGCAGTACTCCATAATCCACATTCTTATACACCCTAGAAACCACAGTAGTGAACACTATAGATCATTTAGCTCTCTCTCATGATGTTTAAAACTCACACAAATACACAACTTAATGTAAACACACACACACAGATGCACCTCAACAGTCCTGAGCTATGCTGGAAAACTTAGGGTCAGTTTCTTTGGAAAACATGTCTCAGGACCCATAGAGCGATACTAGACTTTGAGGTATGACAAGTGAGAAAGATCAATCGTTCCAGAAGTCAAAGCTGGCATCAGGACACTCTCCTACGGCAGCACAAAGCAGATGGCTACTGCTGCCTATGCCCCTATAGCAGGAAGGAAAGCAGGACCTGTTGAGGACCCAAACCCACGTTTCATCAAGTTCAGCAGAGCACAGAAATAGAGGCTATTTCATGATCATCTGATCTTTGTTCTCTGAGATTAAATCTTAGAAAGGATAAATGCAATTTGCTACATTTTCTAGTAAAGGAATATTACATCAAATTAAGACAAAACATTTTTGAAGTTACTAGTAAACTAGTATTATTCTTCCACTTTAAAATAGCTATCTATTATTTTGCAAACCAGTACCTAGTTCTGAAGCCTGATGTATGACTAAGGAGTGTTCACTCCTGTAATCTGAGTTCAGAGACTTAGTGAAGGTCTGGACACCAGGGAAACGGCCTACCTTTCATAATATATTCATTTTCTGAAGAGCCAGGAAGTGTGAGAGCTTTGAAAAGGTTTGTTAGCAGAATCTCAACAAACGGTGCGATTTCTGCAGCTGTAAAACTATAGATGAAAAAACAGCTTTCAGTCACTACCAACTCTTGAGCTTGTCACTGTGGAATGCCCAGGTCAACTACTACATCACACTTCTTGGCATAAGATGAGCCATCTCTCACCACTGACAGTAGGCAGACATCGCTGGTAAATAACTGTTTACATGTGATCACATTAAGTTCTTAATTAGGCACACTGGGATCAGACACAACTGGACAAATCAAAAAACCAGGCAAACTCAGTATCATCTCAACCTGCTGGTCTTCCTGGGTTCCTCACCACCACCATGGAATAATGCCTGCATCCAGGGGTTTCAGCTATTTACTTTTCCTGGTGGGGCAGTATACGCTTTCTGTATCCTTTCTGGGCCTGAATAAAGGTCCTGGCCTGACTCACCTCAAAAGGCATCCTTTCATCCTCCTGAAGTGACTCCTGAAGCACCTGTGCCCAGGACTGCATGAAAAATAGAACCTAGAACTGCTTTCCACGTCTTACCTAGAGCTCAGTTGCGAGAAATAATACTGTGAAAATTGGCCTGAAACACATGCAGACCACCCAGTCCTCTACATTTTATCCCTACATTGGGCCAGGAGAACTACTTTCCTGGCACCTAGAGAATTACTGTGTCTCAGAATTAAGTGAGGACAAGAGAGCCATGTGGCAGCAACTGTAGGAAGATGGGAGCTCATTTGAGATGCCTTTTGAGCAACTTCTGTTCTCAATTTCACGAACACTGAACATCGAAACTCCCCATGTTTCCCTCTCAGTTACGGTGCTAGAAGATGCCAAGTGAAAGTAGAAGCTTCTTTGCTATACAAGGTCCTTTGAAATGTAGCTATGTTTATTAACTTTACTAAAGTTCAGTTCCTTTGCTCTAACTTACTATCAAAATGTATCTACATTTTGGGTTAAGTTGCCTTAAATCCTTTAGAACAAGGCAACGTAAATGAGTAAGAATTACATATTTGCTTTTCTAAACACTATTGCAATTATGAAACATCCAGGGGTATCAGACCAGTACAGCACAGCCCCACCCCAATCCAGACTACAGAAAGTACTTAGAATTAAAAATACTTACAGAGTGGCATTGCTAGACCCTCTCATTGTAAACAGCCGTTCCAGAGCATGTGCTGCGTAAGTATGAACAACAATGCTTTCAGCCTGAAGATGATTAATCAAAAGAGGAATAGAGACTAAAAGGTGTTCTTTTGGCACCTGAAAAATACAATGATACATATTCTAAATCCAGTGATGCCACTTGAAAGTGCCAATTTTAAAACCACTTTCTTGCCTCTGTGGTATGGCAGAAGATACTACAAGAAATAAAAACTTGAATCTTCACATAATGGTTCAACTGTCACTGATTTTTTCTAATTTATTTTTCTGAACATAAAACTATGAAGGCAAAAATCTTAAAAATAAGTGAATATGGGACTGGAGAGATGGCTCAGTGGTTAAGAGCACTGGCTGCTCTTGCAGAGGACCCAGGTTCAATTCCCAGCACCCACGTGGCAGCTAACAATGCGCTTGTAACTCCAGTTCTGAGGAATTCTATGCCCTCTCTGATTTCTGCGGTACTGCCTAACGCGGGTGCAACATACACTAAAAAAGTGAATACATCATAATGTTTTAAGCTATTTTTAGCATGGTACTTTATTTGTGCACGCGCATGCACACCAACAGCATGAGTGTAGAGGTCAGGACAATTTGTGGGACGCAGTGCTCTCCCTCTTTCCATGTAGATTTTGGGGACTGAACTCAGGTCCTCAGATTTGGCAGCAAGTGTCTTATCCACTCAGCGATCTTGCTGCCAACCCAGCGCAGTAATTTTTGTCTATATCTAATTGAATAATATGCTCAGTGTATAAAAGCCACACACACAAAAAAAAAATTGTAGTCTTATTTTAGTGGGAAACTGACCGCTATTTTGTAGCCTTTACTTACATTTTGGAAAACACCAAAGAAATAACTACACATATAATACCAAAAATGTTAAATAAAATCTGGTGTAAAACGGCTTATCTGTAACTGCAGGCAGTAGTATCTCAAACATAAGGTCAGCCTGGACTTCATATCAAGTCCCAGGCTAGTATGGGCAACAGAGGGGCAGGACAGCGCTATGCTATAAAAACAAACAAACAAACAAATCTAAAACAACGAAAGAAAAAAATTCTTGGATTTTTTTTTTTTTTTTTTTTTTTTTAAGACAGGGTCTCCCTGAAGTCCCAACTAGCCTGGAACTCAGTATGTAGACCAGGCTGGCCTCAATCTCAGAGACTCACTTGCCTCTGCCTGCTGAGTCCTGCCACCACATCTAGCAATTTTTATAATCTTGAGTTGAAGTGGAAACTATCTTATCTCCTTTTCTTATATTACTCACTGGCAATATTCTTATCCCCTTTTGCTGTTTGAAACAGAATCTCACTATGTAGGCCTGGCTTGCCTGGGACTCACTTATGAGGACCATGCTGGTTTTGAATATGTAGTGATCCTGTTTCTACCTCCCAAATCCTTGGATTACAGATGTGAGTTGCCACCACCAGACCTGGTTTCAGATGATGGTCTTTAAATAAAATTTCCCACCTCTGAGAGGAGGCTAACCAGGTCTGGTCAGGAAAGGCACATAAATCTGGAACAATTTTATCACTGAAAAAAGAGGGAAGCAGCCAAAGGCTATGGAGTTAGTTGTCATTTGCTCAATGAGTAAAGGTGTTTAGCCAAGCCTGAAGGCTTGAGCTCCATCCCCTGGATCCACATGGTCAAGAAGTGACTCTAGCAGGTTATCCTCTGACCTCCATATGCATCCTTGGTACACATGCAACACACGACAAACACCCCCAAATAAAGAAATGTAGTAATAAAAACAAATACAGAGACCAGAGAAGACATTCCATCATGAGATACAATTAGCCAAAAGTAGAATGCGAAGACACTCTCCAATTTAAATAACTGTTTTTTCTGACTTAAAATAAGGCAAGCAGAAGGACTTTTCTGCTATACATTAAGAAGCTTTAAACTTAATCAAAGGATTGATAATGTGTGGACCCAATTTGCTGACCCCCTTCTTTTTTGACATTTTGAGAAGGGTCTCACTATTTAGTACTGGCTGACCTGGAACTCCCTATGGAGAGACCAGGTCTGTCTCTCGGCCTCTGCAGTGCTAGGATTGCAAGCATGCACTACCACACTCAGTGAGTCCAAATTTTTAATAAAACTATTGTAAGAAAACAAAATCCAAAGCTGGGATTACAGATCAAGGTCAGAGTGTTTCTGGAGAAGCTGGTAAATAATAAAACTACTAAATTGTCAGAAAAAAAAGCGCTACTTACTTGATTTCTAAAAATCATAATATATTTGATACCATCAGCTTTAAGCACAGGAAACTCATTGACTATTTAAAAAAAGAAAGCCACAATTACTTAAGTGGTAAGATTGTTATACAAATCAGTGACATCAATGTAAACAGGGTACTATCCTGTCCAGCAACTGAAGTTCAACTGATCAGTAGGTATGTGCCAATAATCCATGAATTAAGCTGCTCTGAATTAAGATCATTCTCTTTAGTTGGGATTTACTTTACATTCCTCTAGCAGTAGGAAAACTAATTGGTGAGAATGAGAAACCATGGCCATAAAACTGGAGGATGGTCACATAGAAGCTCATTATAATATTCAGTCTCCTCTGGGGGTATATAAAATTTCTACAAAAATGTTAAAGGAATTATTTCAAACTATATCATCATACTCCCATAAACACAGAAAACTATCCTTATCAGTTTCAAATCAAATACTTCAAAACAAAATTCTTTTCTTTTTTCTGTTTGGAGACAGGGTATGATCTATCCCCATCTGGCCTTGAATTTGTTGTGTAGCAGAAGACTGTAAAATGCCCAGCATTCACATGGTGACTAACAATTGCTAGTTAACCCCAGTTCAGGAGATTAACAACCTCTTCTGATCTCCATGGGCACTGCACTCAAAGGTGCACTTATATACATACAGGCAAAACGCATATACATAAAAACAAACAAACAACCCTCCCCCCAAAACAAAGAAAATCATGGTGATATAGAGCCCTATTTTACTTTTGTCATGTTACTGGACAGTAGAGAAGTATAAATAAAAATTGAAGGCATAACATCGTAAATTACAGAAAAGAAAAAATTTCACAAAACTCACCATTATTTGATTTTAAATCAGGGAGTATGTGATTCACAAAAAATTCAGTCAGGTTTACAAGTTCATTGGCTTGTGTAATTCCATGCTGAAAGGAAGTATGTAATAGGGCAAATTAACACAAACAAAATACTTGCATTATCACGTCACAAATTTAAGCAATTTATAAAACCACATTAACAGACACAAACACTTCAAAACACAAGCAGTTCATATATAAAACAAAACTAGCTTAACAGAAAATGAATGTTCCTAACCCAAATGGGTACATTAAACTAATGTTTTATACACTGAATGTCAGCAAAGGTAGCAAGTGCAGCATGCTCAAGAGCTGAAATGCTTAAGTTCATCTACATAATGTTTTGCTTAAAGAGTGTACAACTCTATTTAGGCTGAGTAAGTTACCAATACAATAGGTTGCACTATCAGAGATACATTTCTTTATGAATCCTGTGGCTACAACCTGCCTTAGAAACAAAACATGGAAAAAAATATACCTTCTGTGTTTGGGCTTTTGATGCCAAAGATGTCACTAGGTAAATGGCTGCATCTTTGTGTTTCCAGTTGACAGATGGGTTTTTTGCATATTCCTGAAGCATGGAATTAACGTAACCAGAGAAGATTCCCGTCACAGGTCCCTCAAAAAACTTGCATAATCCTCGTACAAGATCACAAGCAGCCCTGCGTCTAGTATCAATATCTTAAAAAAAAAAAAAAAAAAATCGAAAGAAAGCATGAAAGAAGCAACCAATTTATAAACCAATAAAGAAACTGACAACGGCCAGGTGTGGGGCACACACCTTTCCTTTTACCAGGGGATTGAGATCAAACTCAGATTTAGTCTTGCCTGGTAAGTGCTTTTAACTGCTGAGCCATGTCACTAGTCCATACCTTATTTTTTTGAGACAGTCTCACTGAACCGGATTTCACTGATTTCAGCGAGGTACACTGATCAGTGTGCTGTACTCAGCTTTTCTTTTTAAATGCGGGTACTGCTAAACTCTGGTCCCCACGCTTGCAAGGCAAGCACTTTATCAACTGAATAATTACCCAAGCCCTGACTTCTAACTTGTGATCTTCCTGCTTACCACCTCGAAAACGCTGGGATTACAGGCATGTGCCACCACGCCTGGGTTATGTGGTACTGGGGATCAAACCTGGGCCTTCACGTATGGTAAGTAGTAGGCAAACACTCTAACAGATGAATTACATTCCAGCCTCTAAGAACTGTTTTAAAGAGATGTAGAAGTTGCCAGGCATGGTGGTGCATGCCTTTTAATCCCAGCACTTGGGAGACAGAGGCAGGTAGATCTCTGTGAGTTCAAGGCCAGTATGGTCTACATGGAGATCCTGCCTCAAAACAAACAAACAAACCAAAAAGGAGATGTACAAGTTAAAGAAGGAAAATGTTAATAAAAGCAAACTGAAATGACTCTTACCTATACCTCCCCACATTTCCTAGAAAGAAACTGGCCTTAAAATTGGCTTGCTAAGAGACTATTTAACCAAAAACCTAAAGACCTACCAGATCCTTCCAGATCTCTTCTTATATACTCCTCTGAATTATCTTCAAATGCTTCTTCATCAGCAGCTACAAAGAAAGTTGATAATTTAAGAAAACATAAGCCATCATATTCTATACCTGAACAACCAGAAGAGGCAGAACTGCTTGGTTTTACCAGGAAACATTCTTTCCCATTACTACTTCAGATCCTTGTAATTACTAAATACAGCAGCAAACACCACAGAAAGTTAGCATTAGGCAAATTACAGCTGTAAAGGAGAGGGCCCCACAACTAACTTACTTTTACCTCCAACTTTCAAGGTGACTGCCTGGGATCAGTCTAGAAATACTTTCTATTTTGCCAGTAAGGATATGAAAATAAACAACCTAATTATATTCACCATTATTTGATAAATTCATTCAGTGACAAAACAAGTAGACGATATCAGAATAAAGTCCTATTCCTCAACCAGGCATGGTGGCGTATGCCTCTGATGCCAGCACTTGGGAGGCAGAGGCAGGTGGACCTCTGTGAATTCCAGGCCAGCTGGGGCTACAGGGAGACCCTGTCTCAAAAAGACCAAAATAATAAATAAAAAAATAAAAACAGCTATTTGCCTTGGTGAAACATCAAACACTAAAGTCAAGCAATTTCAATAATCAGAGATTCTATTCCCCAATATTTTTATGAAAAAAAAAAAAACCCTACAGTATACAGCAGCACCCATTTTACAGATGCTACATTTTCTGCCATGGTTTAGAAAGCAATAAATTACCTGCAACAAGTTTGACTTGATAATAAAAAAATTAGATCTTACAATCAAAAGAAGACACTAAATTTATATTGCTGGCCTTGAACTCCTTATCTCCTGCTTCCACCTCCACGTGCTGGGATTACAGGTATGCACCACAAAGTCCATCTTCCCAGTTAGCACATTTGAAACACTGAGCCTTTTCTCCCCTGAAAACCCTTCTGTTTTGCCATAATTACCTCTAAATTCCATATTAGGTACAATAACCTTTTCACAGATGCTTGTCAGTGTGTTCTGGTCCTCAAACAGATTCTTATAATGAGGTCTCTCACAAACTGAAGCCAGAAACTGAATTGCATTACTTACCAACTGAAATAAAACACAATGACAATATATTTAAAAGCAAAACCAATTTGTTTTTTATTAAAGATTTACTTATGTGTATGAGTGTTTGCCTGCCATGAAGGTATAGACAACATGTCCATGGCATGCCAGCAGAGGCATGTCCAGGACACCAGTAGAGGGTATCAGACCATCCTGAAACTGGAGTTACAGGGAGTTGTGAGCTGTCTGATAGGGGTGCTGGGAACTGAAACTGGGTCTTCTGCAAAAGCAGCAAGTGCTCTTAACAGCTAAGTCACCTCTCCAGCCCCCACGCCAGTTTACTTTTTGTCTGATACAGGGCAGGAATATATTCTTGTCTCTATCATCATCTTACCAAATCATATTTAACCTCTTGACCTGTTGTAACTAGTAAATTCCAGATGGCTGTGACAAAACGAGGCAAGTACCGCTGAAATTCTTCATCATACTTTTGTGCATAAAGCGCAGCATTATCACAAATCTGGGATTTTAAAAGCTCCAATAAGCCCGCTTCCTCTTCATCCTCACAAGAGAAAAAGAGAACACTCAAACACATGACTTTAAGGATACCATAAACAAAGAGGGCAAGTATATAATCCTTCCAGGGCTATTTAAAATTTAAATCCAAATCAATTAGTACATACTACATCTGTGCCACCATCAATCTATTTGTCTTTAAATAAATACATAAATACATAAATAAATAAATAAATAAATAAATAAATAATTAAAGGCAAACTTTACTATAATTTTAATTTTTTAAGATTTTTATTAAGTAATTAATCCTAAGTAAGTAAATAGTGGAAGTGTTATTAATCACTGACAGTAATTCTCAAAGCTTTTCTTTTCCCCTTTTCTTAATGTAGACTGGCCTTGAACTTATTCTTCAACCTCCAGTTCTTCTTGCTGAATCTTTTTATAGTTTTATAATAAAGGGTCACATGCAGTCCAGACTGGCCTCCAACTCACTATGTAGCTGAAAATGGCACTGAACTCCTGTGTCAATGGTGCTTGGTGTAGATTACAGGCATGCACTACCACGTCTGGTTCTACAGCTTTACTTTCAATAATGTAATGGCTTTATCTGTGTATATTATGACTGAAGACAGGCCCATAATAAGATTTTTTTTTTTCATATTACAAAGTCAAATATTACTTATATTTGAGGAATTTTATCTATTATCAATCTAAGGAAGGTTAAGTTTCCAGAGTAAATATGTACAATTTTGAACCCAAGACCTGTGCATATTAAGCAAATATTCTGCCACTGAATTTAATCTCTATCCCAAAATAATTCTTAACGAAGGAAAAAGACTACTTAGTATTTTATATACTTACATCAGGGCTGGGCATAATGGCACACTCCTTTAATCCCAGCACTCGGGAGGCAGAGGCAGGTGGATCTCGCCTGTGATTTCAGACCAACCTGGTCTACATAGCGAGTTCCAGGTCAGCTGGGGCTACAGGGAGACCCTGTTTCAAAAAGACCCTCCACCCAAAAACAAAACAAAACAAAAACTTACATCAGTTTGTAGAAGCTTATTATCCAATGTCAAGAGGGTATGAAAATTGTTCATCCAAGTTTCCATATTATCTTCAAAAAACTCAGGGAGATCCTAAAGAATAATCATGGACTTGAGACTTTTGATTAAAATTAATACATGATTTTAATAAATTTCCCCACTAGGTCAAACACTTGACACATGCCTGTAGTCTCAGGACTAGGTTTTTCAATCTGAACAATTACCTACTGCAAAAATTCTATTTCATCTGTGACAACTGACACATTCAACCAGACTTCTGTCCTGCCTTCATATACCTTCATTATCAATCATATGCCTGCAACTTGTTGCCTCACTCTAAATCTCTTACCTCCAGGTATATAAGGACTGTAGGAAGCATGTCCTTACAAAGCACACTGGTACCAACTTGTCTACCCCACCCCTTCCCTTCCAACTGCTACACTGATTAGAAGATGACCACCAATTCAGACCCTCAACTTCTTATTTTATCCAGCTGCTGGTTTTCCATAGCATACTAATGCAGCTGTCTTACTGAGGTTTCCCTAGTTATGGTGACAACGAGCTTCATTTTCCCTGATTTCTCAGAATTAAAATCCAAAACAGGAAAAAACTGAAAACAAAAACAGAGGTATTAAAGATATTTCAAGCTGCTGTCCAGTTCGACATTCATGTGAGACCTGTCACTTTGGGCCATTTGTTTCCTATTTTACCTAATCAAACCCAATTTCCATTTGGGGAATGTTCTCCCTAACACACTGCAAATGCAATGTTTCTTGAGTGCAGGTACTGGCTATAAACAATGAAAAGGCTAAACCGTTTCTCTTATGTCCTGGTAAATAAAATGTGCCTTAATTAATACTCCTTTTCTTGGTCCTGGAGCTCTGAATCTTAATGATTCAAGAGCAGACGGAGGGGCTGGAGAGATGGCTCAGTGGTTAAGAACACTGGTTGCTCTTGTAGCTGACCTAGGTTTGGTTCTTGGCACCTACATGGTAGGTTACAACTGTCAGTAACTCCAGTTCCATGGCATTTGCTGCCCTTTGCGGTCTCCACAGACATTGCACGGACATGGCACACTTATATGCATGCAGGCAAAACACTCATACACATAAAATAGAAGGACACATAGCATACATTCCCCCAACCCCCGCCCCAAATAAAACCTTTTAAAAAAAGGGGAGCTGAGCATAGTGGTGCACGCCTTTAATCGCAGCACTTGGGAGGCAGAGGCAGGCAGATCTTTGTGAGTTCGAGGCCAGCCTGGTCTACACAGTGAGTTCCAGGAGGAGACCCTGTCTCAAAAAGACAAAAAAAAAAAAAAAAAAAAAGGGATGAGGCCCTAGACTAGGCACTCAGGGTAGAGAGGCAAATCTCTGTGGATTCCAAGTCAGCCTGGTCTACTTAAGAGTTCCAGACCAGCCATGGCTGCATAGTGAGACCCTGTCCCAAAAAAATTTGGAGGGCTATTTCTGCTGCAGAGATGGCTTAATGGCTAAAGTACATACTGCTGTTGCACAGGACTGAAGTTAGGTTCCCAGCACCCATATGAGGGTCTTTTAACCACCTATAACTCCAGTTTCTAGGGTTATAACCTCTTTGGCCTCTGCAGGTACCCACACATATATGGCATATGCACACACAAATAAAAATTTAAGCTCTTCTTTTCACAGCCTGGTACTTTAGCCTCATCTCCAATGATAGGCTATCCAAGTAATCCTATGAAAACTATGGCACCCTCCTCTCATATTAGTAGCTTTGTAAGTGAACAAGAAGGCCCCAGAAATAAAATTTCTTTAAAAAAAATTCTTAAAATTAAATTTATTGAGCTGGGCGTGGTGGCACATGCCTTTAATCCCAGCACTTGGGAGGCAGAGGGAGGCGGATCTCTGTGAGTTCAAGGCCAGCCTGGTCTACATAGTGAGTTCCAGGCCAGCTGAGGCTACAGGGAGACCCTGTCTCAAAAAGACCAAAAAAAAAAATAAATAAATAAATAAATTTATTGCCAGGCATGGTCATGCATGCCTTTAATCCTAGCACTTGGGAGGCAGAGGCAGGTGAATCTCTTGTGAGTTCCAGGCCAGCTGAGGCTACAGGGAGACCCTGTATCAAAAAGATTAAAAAAAAATAAATTTTATTAATTTCTTTGTGTGTATACAAGCATGTGCACATAGAAGGTCAGAGGTCACCTCTGGGAGTTGCTTTTTCTCTTTCTACCACGTGTGTCCTAGGGATGGAACTGAAGCAAGCACCTGCTCAGTTCTCTTACTTAGACCCAAGAACAATTTTTTTCTTGTTGTTTTTAAAAAATATTTTATTTATTATTTTTATTTTATGTGTATGAGTGTATTGCCTGCATGTATGTGAGTGCACCTGCATCTTGCAATGCTGTGGAGGTCAGAGGAGGTCAGAGGAGGGCTTCAGATTTCCCTAGAACTGGAGTTAAGGACAGTTTGTAGCCACCATGTGGGTGTTGGCAATCAAACCCAAGTCCTCTCTGCAAGAGCAGTCAGTGCTCTTAATGGCTGAGCCATCTCTCCAGGCCCTTTTTCTTGTTTTTGTGAGACAGGGTCTCCCTATAGCTGCAGCTGGCCTGAAACTCATAGAGAAGATCCGCCTACCTCTGCCTCCCAAGTGCTGGGATTAAAGGTGTGCACCACCATGCCTGGTTTCAGAAATCTAATTTGTTAATGACTTTAATACAATAGTGTACAGGGGTGACTTTAAAAAAGGAAGCGTTAAGAGATGAAATTTCTCACTTATTGGACACAAGAGAATACCATCTTTCCCCATTCATTAGCATCTCTAAGAGTCACTGTAAATAAAACTGTGGATGGGTAAAGAATAGAGAAAGGCCAAAAAAGAAAAAAAACAACAACAAAAAACCCAACCAACCAACCGACCACAAATAACGCCTTCCTCTTTTCAGAACCAATGCTGGCAAAGCAGTCTTTATCAAGTGGACTGTGTATTTAAAAATAAATACTAAGACAAGAAATGACACTTACCTGAAAGTTTAAACTATAGAACAATTTTGAGATCAAGATCAAAGAAGAAAAAAGAATCCTCAGGGCAGAGGCATCGTTTGCATGGGTGCTGCACAGCTCAATGGTGGCCTTGGAAAGGAATTTAGGGACATGGTTTTAGTGTGTCATAAACCCAGCATACTCATCTTAGTGAAATAGCCTTGTACTATGCTGAGACTACTCATTTCTTCTCCCAAATGAGGCCTTTAAATAGTAGCATAGTCACTTAAGAGATTCTGAAAAATAAGTTAAAGTATATATTTTTAATTGTACTGTAGTAAGCACTATTAAAAAAAAGTCCAAACTTTAATACTCTGAACATCTTTCTAATCATCTATGTGCATACAAATAAATACTACACAGAACCATTTCTATATGCTCTCAATGAGTAATTCCTCTACCATGTGGTATTCAATTGTTTCCAACTGTGCATCATTCTGGCTGTAATACCGAGGTTTACCCATACAACTTTCTGCATGTCTTGACTTTTCAGTCTGAGATTCTAGAAGGGCATCACCAAAGCAGTATGACAGCACAGGCCTAGGTTTGGGAAGCCAGAGATCTGTACAGAACCCAGACTCCATCACTTATAAGGAAGTTTTAGTTGAGTGTGGTTGGGCAACCCTACTCTCCCAGTACTCTAGACAGGAGACTCCAAGCCAGGATGATTCCAAATTCAAGGCCAGGATGAATTACATAAGACCTAATCTGGGGCCAGGTATGGTGGTACATGCCTTTGATCCAGCACTCAGGAGGCAGAGGCAGGAGGATCTTTTTGAGATCAAGGTCTACCTGATCTATATAGCAAGATACAGGTCAGGTGGGGCTACAGAGAGATCCTGTCTCAAAAAGATCTAATATATAGCAAGATACAGGTCAGGTGGGGCTACAGAGAGATCCTGTCTCAAAAAGATCTAATCTTGAAGGAAAAAAAGAGGGGAGGGGACCTGAGGATGTAGCTCAATTGGCAGAGTGCTTGCTGAACATGCATGGAGCCAAGGGTTGGATCTCAAGCACTACATAAACTGGTTGGGGTAGTATAGGCATTTAACTCTAGCACTTAGGAGGTAGAGACAGGAGGATCAGAAGTTCAAACTGTCCTCCCTGTTCTATGGGAGACTATCCCCTACCCCATCCCACTCCCAAAATGCCTATTATGTATAGAGTATGGGTAGTAAATGACAAAATGGGTATTCATTACAATTCCTGTATGGACTTTACACACACCTACTATGTGCACCAATGTTTCTTGCCTTATTCTGGGATTTGGAAACAATAAATATTAGAAATTAAAAACTGGAAATAATATTCTCAGTGAAAAGCCACATTCTAGAAAAGTAGTATTTCAAATTAATATTCAGAACATCAGTTGGTTTGAGGCCCAACTCTCATTTTTATTAACTGTGTGTTCCTGAATCCTTTGGAAAAATGGGTAGACATTTTTACCAATTTTACAGGATTCTTATAAAGATCAAGAATATGTTGAAGAAGGTAGTCTGTGTGCTGTAAAGTTTTGTAAATTAATTCCACATATGGTAAAAATGTCAAATCTCTCTTTAGAAATCTATATTCATTTATATTTGATGCTTAGGTTTGGTTTTATTTTTCACTTTTATTTTTTTTTAATACACCCGTGTCGTGCAATGCCCACGGAGGTCAGAGGAGGCTGTCAGATCCTCTGGGACTGGAGCTACAGACAGTTAAGGTTTTGTTTGTTTTTTTTGGTCTTCTTTGAGACAGGGTCTCCCTGTAGCCCCAGCTGTCCTGGAACTCGCTATGTAGACCAGGCTGGCCTTGAATTCACAGAGATCCGCCTGCCTCTGCCTCCTGAGTGCTGGGACTAAAGGTGCGTGCCACCGCGCCCAGCTAAGGTTTTGTTTTTAAATTACTACACAAATGGGAGTAGACTAAAAACTGTTGGTAACTCAATCCTTGTCCGGCATGGAGTCCACACTATCTGCTCCATTTCTGGGTAGGCTTGCAATTCTTTTAAGAAATGCTGCTCTAGCTAAAAAAAAAAGTTCCAACAATTTCTCAAAAAATGTATAAAAATATTTAAGCAATTAAAAATACTAGGTAATTTTCAATGATTACTCAGACATTATTCCATACCTTAAAGAGATTAGTCAAAGGCAAAGCAAAGGCATCCAAGACAAGCTTAATTTCAGTCCATAACTCGTTTGACTTAAACTCATGACGGTATCTAAAAGTTAAGGGAAAGTAGGTAAATATACAAATTTTCTGTTTATTCAATTTAGGTGGTCAAAGATATCTAGATAGAATTCAAAGGGAAGTCTAGGTTTACTTTTTAAAGGAATGAAGAGTAATCTAATTATGTCACTGGAAATACGACAATATGAGATAAACATTTTGCTTAACAAGAAACAATAATGAACTGAGGGACTTCCGTTATCACTCAAGGATGTTCATATTCAAAGAGTAGTAAGTTACCAAACAGAAAGTCATATTAATGTAATAGAAAAAAAGCATATTAAAGGAACAAATTTATACATCAGTACCTTTTAAATAGTGAATGTGCTGTACGGAGGACTCCATTGATAACGTGGAAATCTCCACTCTGAAAGCGATTCACCATTTCTGTTAACAGGTCAGGCCATTTCTGAGGGAAATCTTCTCGGCCAATGATGCTAATAGCATCACTCAACTAGGGGAGGAAAAGCTAATTAGGAGAGCTTCATAAAGGAGCCCAGCCCCAACCTCACCCCCACCAGAAATAGGGGTCCATTACCTGTTTCTGAATCTGCTCTGGGCTGCTCAGCATCAAATGCACTATGTTGCCTTTAATAGCTACTCGATCAGCTTCACAAATCTTGTTTGGTTCATCTTCAACCTAAAAGCAAAACATCCAATGAGAAAATAACATGATATCCAAATTCATATCTACCTGTGTTTGCAGATAATGCATAATTCACTCCAATTTGCCAGGTTATCAAGGGAAATGCAAACCTGGGCTATTCTTCATTCTCTCCCTACAGGCGTAAGATTTTGACCATCTGGTTAAAAACATGAGCCCTTTCCTTACAAAATGTACATTCTTGGAGCTGGGGAGGTGGCTCAACAGTGGTTACAGTGGAACATTCGCTGCCTGGCGTGGTGGCACACACCTTTAATCTCAGCACTTGGGAGGCAGAGACAGGCTGATCTCTGTGAGTTCAAGGCCATCCTGGGTCTACATAGTGAGTTCCAGGCCAGCTGGGGCTACAGAGAAACCCTGTCTCAAAAAAAAAAAAAAAAAAAAAAAAGAACATTTGCTGTTCTTCCAGAAGATCTGGGTTTGGTTCCCAGGCACATTGCAGATAAAACACCCATCCAAAACTCCAGTTCCATGGGATCCAATGCCCTCTTCTGGCCTCCGCGGGCAATGCACAACACAGGTGCACTTAACACATATGCAAGCAAAACACTCATACATATAAAATAAAAATAATAGTCGCCAGGAGTAGTGGTGCATGCCTTTAATCCCAGCACTCAAGAGACAGGGACAGGTGGATCTCTGTGAGCCCAGCCTGGTCTATATGGTGAGTTCCAGGACAGCTTGGGACTACAGGGAGACCCTGTCTCAAAAACAAGCAAACAAACAACAAAGGCCAAGTCTACTTCAAAGAAAAAAAGTACATTCTCTCCTAAAAATAATTATTTAATATGCAATATTTTTTATCTTTATTTTATGTGTATGAATGTATTGCCTGCATGCAGGTAGATATACCATGTCATGCAGTGCCCATGAAGGTCGGAAGAGGGTATTGGATACCCTGGAAATGGCGTTACAGACAGCTGTTGGCTGCCATGTGGGTGCTGGGAATTGAACCTGGGTCCTCTGTAAGAGCAGCCAGTGCTTTTAACCACTAAGCCATCTCTCCAATCCCTAATATGTAGTATTTTACAGAAAAATCTTTGAGGCTCTCTGACTTGCTGATGCAAATTAAGAATTTCAGTCATGCCAGGCGTGGTGGTGCATGCCTTTAGTCCCAGCACTTGGAAGGCAGAGGCATGCAGATCTCTGTGCGTTCCAGGCCAGCTGGGGCTACAAGGAGACCCTGTCTTATTAAAAAAAAAAAAACAAACAAAAAAAACAACAGAGTTTCAGTTATGATAGGGAAATGGAGATGAATGATGAATACCTGTAATACCAGCACACAAGCGATGGGCTATAGACTATAAGGCCAGGCTGTGTTATACAAAACAAAACAAAAATGCACATGGTGGCACATGCCTTTAATCCCAGCATTTGGGAGGCAGAGGCAGGTGGCTCTGTGAGATTGAGGTTAGTTTGGTCTACATAGTGAGTTTCAGGCCAGCTGGTGCTGCTACAGGGAGACCCTGTCTCAAAATAAACAAACATATAAATAAATAACTTACAATAAAATAGCAGGAAAGATGGCTCAGCAGTTAAAAATGTGTATTGCCCTTCCAAAGGACTAGAATTCAATATCCAGTATTTATGTCAGCAGCTCACAACCACTATAACTTCAGCACTGAACATGTGCACAAACCCATACATTATTAAAAATAATAAAATAATAATAAATTTTTTTTTTTTTTTTGTTTTTTTGAGACAGGGTCTCCCTGTAGCCCCAGCTGTCCTGGAACTCACTATGTAGATCAGGCTGGCCTTGAACTCATAGAGATCTGCCTGCCTCTGCCTCCCGAGTACGGGATTAAAGGCATGCGCCACCATGCCCGGCAATAAAAATTACTTTAAAAAGGGGGAGGGCTAGAAAGATGGCTCAGTGGGGATAAATGCTTGCCACAGAAGTATGAGGACTTGAATTCAAATAATTCCCCAGAACCCATGTAAAACTGTGATTTGCAGCATGAGTGTAAACCCAGAGCTCCTATGTAAGATGGGAGGTGTCCATAGAAGCTCTCAAGACAGTGTAGCATATGCAGAGGAAAAACAAGAGACCCTGACATGGCATGCATGTACTCCCTGTATTTAAATATATGCACATGCCTAGCACATGTACATGTATACATGCACATAGGATGGAGGACAAAGCTTAGTTAGAATATTTGCATAGCAAGAACAATGTCTTAAGTTTGATCCCCAGTACCACATACATTAGGCATGGTGGTGCACACCTGTAATCCCAGCTCTTGGGAAGTAGAGGCAGAAGTGCCAGGAGCTACATAGTAAATTTTAAGCCCACCTGGACTGTACAATACCGTGTCTGAAAAAAATAACAAAAAAAAAAAACAAGGGCTATATAGTGAAATCTTTGTCTCAAAACAACGAAAAGCAGAAACAACTAAATAAAAGAATTTGAGTTTTAGGGTGTGGGTATATTCTGGAAAAATACTTGCTAAGACTACATGAAACCCTGGGTTTGATCGCTAGCACCACCAAAAGAGAAAGACTTCAGTTATTTATGTAAATTAATCAGAACATGTAGTTAAAATCTTTATAGCTATATACTACCTAATCGTAGTCATCTTTCAAAGCTTGAACCTCTTACCTTTAAGTCAAAGATGAAAATTTCTTGACCCCATGTGACTGCATTTAGGGGTATAACTAAAGAAAGTATAAGCCTCGATGTTTTCATGCCTACGTTTTTATTTATTTTTACATTTATTTATTATGTGTTTGTGTGTGTATGCACATGCTTATGTGTAGGGGTACACTTGTGTTGAGGCCAAAGGACAACTTGTGGATGTCAGCTCTTTCTTTCTACTCCGTGGGTTCCAGGTTGTCAGGCTTGACAGCAAGCTATTTAAGCCAGGGCCATCTTAATGTTTCAATGTATCAAGACAGAGATAACCACTTGGGATGCCAAGGAAGGAGCACTGCTCATGAGTTTGAGGACCACGTGGGCTACAGAGTGAGACTCTGATTCAAAATCCCTCCTACCTGTCCACCCAACATAAAAAAAGAGGTTCTCACGCCTACAAATGGAGAGATGGACTTTCCTAAGATTTACAGTCATTTCTTTACCACATACAGCAATACTTAACCAATAATACAAGCTGTAAGACAATACTTTTATATTTTTATTATATGTATTTGAGTGTTATGCCTGGATGTATGTAAGTGCACCCATGTGGTGCAGTGCCTGTAGAGGACAGATGAGGGTATTGGATCTCCTGGAACTAGAGTTTCAGACAGTTGTTAGCTGCCATGTGGGTACTGGGATTTGAACCTGGATCTTCTGCAAGAGCAGCCAGTGTTCTTAACCACTGAATCATCTCTCCAGACCCAGACAATACTTTAAAGTCAGTTCTCTCCTTTCACCACATGGGTCCTGGGGATTGAACTCAGGCTATCCAGTTTGGTAGCAAGTACCTTTAACTACCAAGCCAACTCTCTGGCCCATACTTATTATTCTAATAACTTTTATGTGATCAATCAGAAAGATTCTAAATAAATATTTGAGCTTTTAAAAAAATAACTATCTTTTAACACATTGAGTTCCAGGCCAGTCAGGCCTACACAGTGAGATCCTGCCTCAAAAACAAACAGCTGGGAGTGGTGGTACAAGCCATTAATCCCAGCACTGGGGAGGCAGAGGCAGGTGGATCTCTGTGAGTTCAAGGCCAGCCTGGTCTACATGATAAGTTCCAGAGTTCCAGGCCAGATGGGGCTACAGGGAGACCCTGCCTCAAAAAAAAAAAAACAAGTTAATTACTTTGAATTTTACTCTTTTTGAGATGGGATTTCACTGTGCTGCCCAAACTGTCCATGACCCTGCTACCAAAGTCAGGACTAAAGAAATCATCAAAAGCTGGGTGTGGTGGCGCATGCCTTTCGTCCTAGCACTTGGGAGGCAGAGGCAGGCAGATCTCTGTGAGTTCAAGGCCAGCCTCATCTACAAAGTAAATTCCAGGCCAGCCGGGGCTACAGGGAAACGCTGTCTCAAAAAGACAAAACAAAACAAAGAAAAAAAACAAAAAACCATCAAGGGGCTGGAGAGATGGCTCAGCAATTAAGAATACTGCTTGTTCTTGCAGAAGACCCATGTTTGAATCCCAGCACCCACATGGCAGCTAATAACTGTCCGTAACTTCAGTCCCAGGGGTTCTGACAGCCTCTCTGACCTCTGCGGACACTGCATGACACCGGTGCACTTACCTACATGCAGGCAACACACGCATACACATAAAATAAAAATAATTAAAAAAAAGAAACCATCAAATATGCCCATCTTAAATCACTTTAATTATTCACTTAGACTGTCTTCCCATAGGAGGTCTCTAGGTCTCTCTTCACTTTGGCAACCTGAGTTGGCAAGTTGCAGCATGTGGAATTCAAATTAAAGAACAGGAGTTTTGGTAAAGGGACTGATTTATCATTAATTTGCCATCTGGTATATAAACCATATAAGCATACAGGGCACTAATTATATATTCCCCAAATACTCACAATTCTCCAGTTCCTCTTAATATAGTTCTTGAAGGTCACTGAAGCACATACTTTGATGACATTGTCCTGAGACTTCTCCAGTAATGTTAAAAGCAACAGTGGGTAATTCTGATTTCCTTCTACAGATTCCAGAAATTTCTCAGCTGTTGAAGAATTTTCATGTTAGAGGACTGTTACAATCAAAATATTTCTACTCCATTTTCATAAAGAACTATTCTATCTTTAAATATTCAAAAAAGAGGGGCTGGAGAGATGGCTCAGCGATTAAGAACATTGGTGGTTCTTGCAGAAGACCCGGGTTTGAATCCCAGCACCCACATGGCAGCTAACTGTAACTCCAGTCCCAGGGGATCCGACACCCTCTTCTGACCTCCACAGGCATTGCACGACTTGGGTGCACTTACCGACATGAAGGCAATACATGCATACACATAAAATAAAAATAATAAAAATTTTTAAAAGATTCAAAAAAGAAAAAAAGAGAGAAGGAGGAAGGGAGGAAGGGAGGGAAGAGATTAGGATGCTTTTGTCTAAAGAGCCTCACTTGTTTTATCTATTAGTTTCTCTATATATAAAATGTTCAGTGAAATTTACATAATACTTCAGTTCTCAAATCACCTTACCATCTGTTAATTCACCCAATTCTCACCATCTATGAAATGGCCTGCTCAAATGATTCCCCCATCTGAAGATGCTGCTTCCCAGGAGTAAGAGTAGATGTTAGGATACAAGTTAAATATTTGTCCTCATTTTAGAAAGGATTAGTAGCAACATGAATGAGTTCATTCATGTGAATATATATTACTAACCATGAGGTAAGGTATCACTATCACCCATAAAGGCTGGTAGTGTGAGCTCATCTAAGATCACACAACTATGAAGCTCCCATCAAGTGCAAGGTGTTTTAGTCTAGTCCTCACTCATCAGATCAAACCAAAGCTGTCCAGAATACCAGCAGTGAACTTATACCAAAAACTTACCAGCATACTTTCAAAGCAGTATTACACTCAAGGATAAATTTCCTGCTTTCCAAGTCACAAGAAAAGTGGTATAGTATTTCTTTTAATTTCCTTCTTCATTTTCCCCTCAATCTCACTTTATTCCCCAGACTGCTGTTGAACTGAACATAAGTGACCTGCCTGTCTCAGTCTGCTAAGAGCTAGGACTTCAGACCCATGCCCACCATGCTTGGTCATTTTTCCTAATTTAAGTTTCAAGATATCTATTTTAACATTTCAATATTTTTGAAAAGGTCTAGCACTAGTGTGCTTTATTTTTTAGAATTTACTACTTAAGCTGGGTGTGTTGGCACACACCTTTAGTCCCAGCACTCAGGAGTCAGAGCCAGGCTCACTACATAGCCAAAGATGACTATGCATGTCTGATCATCCTGCCTCACCCTCCCAAAAGCTGGAATTATAGGTATGCACTACCATGTCTGATTTATTCAGTGAGGGATCAAACCTCCAGCTTCAAACATGCTAGGCAAGCACTCTCCCAACAGAGCTTTATCTTCAGCAATGAAGCATTCTTCTCACAAGCTTGTCAATTCTTTTCTATGTTAACTTCCATCAATTTACAGAATATCTGTACTGACAGCCAGTAAGATGGCTTAGCAGATAAAGGTGCTTGTACAAGCCTGATTACCTGAGCTCTATCCCTAGAAGCCACAAAAAGGTGGAAGGAAAACAAACTCCACAAAGTTGTGCTCTAACTGGTATATACACTGTAGAACACCTGCCCCCAAACATGTTTACTGACATGTTTCTGCATAGTCCCAAGGAGCTTCAAAGTCTTCTGAGCTGGGAGATGGTACAGTTAGTATGAAAGCAAGGCATAAGGACCTGAGTTCCAATCCCCAGCATCCATGTAAACAGTTAATCATGGGTGTGCCCTCCTGTAGTCCCAGCTAATGGAAGAGCTCCAGGTTCAATGTCCCAGGTTCAATGAAGAGACTGCCTCAAAAAGTGGAGACTGACTAAAGAAGAAATTTGATGTTGACCTCTGGCCTCCATGAAAACATACGTGCACTCAAATACATATGCACACACTTAAACAAGTATACACACAGAAGTCTTCCAATTCATCCATATAACCATTACATCTCAATAATCAAGTGAGCACAGTGACACTTTTAAGTTGAGATAGATCTAATACCCAATTTCTGTCTAGATCTCTTCATAAACATGTAGGCCTGACAGATGGCTCAGTGTTTAAAAGCACTGGATACTCTTTCGAAGAGGACCAGGGTTCAGTTCCTACAACCACATGGCAGCTAACAATCATCTATAATTTCACTTCTAGGGAACCTGACACCCACTTCTGGCCTTTGTGAGCATTTCACACATGTGATATACTTACATACATGTAAACAAACACTCATACACATAAAAATAAAATAATTTTTTTTTTTTGGTCATTTTGAGACAGGGTCTCGCTATAGCCCCAGCTATCCTGGATTCATCATGGAAACCAGGCTGGCCTCCAACTCACAGAGATCCGCCTGCCTCTGCCTCCTGAGTGCTGGGATTAAAGGGGTGAGCCACCACGCCCGGCAACAAAATAATTTAAAAAAAATTAAAAATGTAGAATGTCAGGCCAGGCGTGGTGGCGCACGCCTTTGATCCCAGCACTAGGGAGGCATAGGCAGGCGGATCTCTGTGAGTTCGAGGCCAGCCTGGTCTACATAATGAGTTCCAGGACAGCTGGGGCTACAGGGAGACCCTGTCTCAAAAAGACCAAAAAAAAAAAAGAATGTCTAGCATATGTAGGACCTTGGGTTCCATCACTAGCACCAAAAAGAAAGAAAAGCATGGAACTGGACAGATGACCCAGTGGCTAAGAGCACTAGCTACTCTTGCAGAGGACCCACATTTGGTTCCTAGCTCTCATGTGGTAGCTTCCAGAGGATCTGACACATTCTTCTGGCCTCTGTAGGCACTGCACTCACATGGTATGCATATATACATACAGGTAAAACATGCATACACATAAAAGTAAATCAAAGAGAAAGAGAGAGAGAGAGAGACAGAGACAGAGACAGAGACAATACACACAGACTGACTTTGAAGTTAGTCTCACATCAGTCTGAGAAATCTGCTTCCCAGAAACACTCATTTTCTACATTCTATTCTGGGGTCACAAAGCACCTTCAGTTTTTTTTTTTGTTTTTTTTTTTTTTGGTTTTTTTGAGACAGGGCCTCCCTGCAGCCCCAGCTGGCCTGGAACTCACAGAGATCCGCCTGCCTCTGCCTCCCGAGTGCTGGGATTAAAGGCGTGCGCCACCACGCCCAGCTTATTTATTATTTTTATGTGTATGTGTGTATTGCCTGCATGTAGGTAAGTGTACACATATCATGCAGTGCCTACGGAGGACAGAAGAGGTTGTCAGATCCCCTGGAACTGGAGTTATGGACAGTTGTTTGCTGCCATGTGGGGGCCGGGTCTTCTGCAAGAACAGCCAGTGTTCTTAACCGCTGAGCCATCTCTCCAGCCCTAGCACCTTCACTTTTTAACAAGACACTTCAAAAATAAACCTTAATAGTGTTAGCATAGGCTTTCTGTGAAATTCTAAGATTAATTAACTTTCCTTTATCCATGTGTACATCACCTCTGTAAGCACTAACAGCAACCTCAGTGTGACCTCTCAGAAATAACAGACTAGCCAGGAAATGCTCTGGTGGCAAAGTGTTTGCCACCAAGCACGAAAACCTGAGTCCCATCACCAGCACTCACATAAAAACTAGGTATAGTAGAGTGTGGTTATAATCTGGTGCTATTTAAGTAAAGTCAGGAGATCCCTAGGGCTTGCTGTCCAGCCAGTCTAACCAAATTGGTGAGTTCCAAGTTCAGATACTCTGTCTAAAAAAATACTATACAGAGGGGTTGGAGACATGGCTCAGCAGTTAAAGAGTACTGGTTGTTTTTGCAGAGGACCCAGGTCCAGCTCCCAGGACCTCCCATGTGCCGCTAACTCCACTTCCAGGGTGTCCAACACCCTCTTCTGGCTTCCTCCAGCAGCAGGTACGCATACATACATGTAAGGCAAAACACTCATACACATAAAATAAATAAAAATTGCCAGGCATGGTGGTGCATGCCTTTAATCCCAGTACTCGGGAGGCAGACACAGGTGGATCTCTGTGAGACCATGGCCAGCCTACTCTACATAGTGAGTTCCAGGCCAGTCTGGGCTGAAGGGAGACTCTGTCTCACAAAGACAAAATAAATAAATAAATAAAATTAATTAAATAATTTTTTTTAATTTTTATTTATTATTTTTATTTTACATGTATGCATCTATTGCCTACATGTAGGTAAGTGCACCCATGTCGTGCAATGCCTGCAAAGGTCAGAAGAAGCTGTCAGATCCCCTGGAACTGGAGTTATGGACAGTTGTTCCCTGCCATGTGGAGGCCGGGTCTTCTGCAAGAACAACCAGTGTTCTTAACGGCTGAGCTATCTCTCCAGCCCCTAATTAATTTTTAAAATCATGGGAGGCCAAATGGGGATACACATACACACATACACACATTTCTGGTTCACACAGATTATAACATCAAAAATCATTGACTTCTGGCTCCACATGCACATAAACACACAACACATACACACACCCCAACCCATCCAACATTGACCTCTGGCTTCCACATGCACATATATACACACCACATACACACACTCACTCACACTCAACCCACCCAACACTGACCCCTGGCTTTCTACATGCATAGATACACACACCACACACACACACCACACACACACACACACACACACACACACACACACACACACACACACATTATATAGAATGAAGGGTAATGAAGAGGAAGATAACTGGGAGATATGCTCAAATCATTTTATACTTGCTTGAAAATAGTCTTATGTGGAGCTGGAGAGATGGCTCAGTGGTTAAGAGAGTACTGACTGCTCTTGCAGAGGACCTGGGTTAGAATCCCAGAACCCACATGGTAGCTACCAACTGTCCATAACTCCAGAGATCTGGACACTGTCTTCTGACCTCTGAGGGCACTACACAAGATGGGCGTACTTACACACATGCAGGCAATACACTCATACACATAAAATAAAAATAAATAAAATTTAAAAAGAAAATATCCTTACATAACCCTGTATCATAATTACAAGAACCATACAGACTTTTCTAGAATAGGATGGGACTAGAGAGTAACTCAGCAATTCTGGGTCATGGATTTGTTAACCTAGTGCATTCTGCTGGGGGGTGGAGGCCAGAGAGAAAGGGAGGGGGGGGGAGGGGGGAAGAGAAAGAGAGAGAGAGAACCATCAACATATCCAGGAGTCTATTTATTATACACAATCTCTCTCTTCATGTCTCCAGTGTTTGTATCTTTAGATGCGAATGTGTTCCATTAGTATGGGATTATTAAATTCTGAAGAAACAGGTTAGGAGCATTTTTGGTTCACAGATTATAACACCAAAAATCATCAAGTGACTGCTCACAAGACCTATGGCACCCCTAGAAGTAGCATTTGATTTGCACTGTTAAAAATTATTTTGAAGCTGCTTGCCACAGTTTAAAAATGAGGGTACTTAACACTGATATCCTTATTTTTCTTTTTTTTCTTTCTTAACTGCTGAGCCATCTCTCCAGCCCCAATATATTTATTTTTCAAGCAAAGTTGGAAATCTGATCCTCATAAAACTAACTTACATCCCCCCAGAGTTACACAATTATTTGCCCCTTAATGAGCGCATGTATTCCCACTTGGCCAGACTCCCTCATTTCTCTTCACTTCTGACTCTGAGCATCCAAGGTTGAGATTATGCATTTAAAAGTTTCAAGTGGAAACTAGTCAAACTTTGGAAAGAAAAATATAGAAATGCTAGTTCTTAGTATTAATTAAATCAAAACTACCAGGAGAATAAAGCATTTCTGATTACTTGATTTTATTCAGTTAATCACTCTGGAGGAATCACTCTTAACCTCCATGCCCTACTTGCTATTCTTAAAGTCCACAAGCTTTAAATGAAATTTTCAGAAAGTTCATAAGCCAAAGCTTTCTAAACATACTGGTAATTTTATCCCTAAATTACTAGATGTCAAGTAAGATGAATTTACCAAAAACACTCCACCAAGTGTTGTAGCTGCTGTAAGCGGCAGACCACAAACTACAAACACGCTGTTCCAGGGGAACTGACAGCCTCTTCTGTCTTCCGTGGGCACTGTACGACACGGGTGCACTTACCTACATGCAGGCAATACACTCATACACATAAAATAAAAATAATAAAATATTTTTAAAAAAGAATGAATTAACCAGAAAACAGCATTTTTATTGTCTTTACCTGGACGTCTGATGGCAGGATCAGGATCAAGGGTTTTCTTCAAATATTCTGTTAGTGTTTGCAAATTTGCATCACTGAGCTCCATTGTTTATGAATCTAAAATTAAAAAATGGAGTTTGGATAATTAGTCACAGAGACATAGTTACATATGAATCTTTTTGTTACTGTGTTTTGCTTTTGAGATAGACTCTCACTGTATAGCCATGGGGTGGCATGGAACTCTAGCCAGATCAGGATGGCTTTAAACTTGTTGTAAGCCTGCCTCTGCTTCTCAAGTACTGAGATTACAATCATGTGCTAGCACCCCCAAATATGAATCCTTTTATATTAGAATCTTCTCTCTCAAGCCATGCATTTGGATCCGTGTTATCTCCCAACTGTTGGGATTATAAACACATGCTGCTCAGCTTTTTGCTATGTTTTTGATACTGGCTAGAAGTCTCTCAGTAGAGACAGAAGTTCAGAGCAGTTAAAACAAATAAGAAAAACAAAAGAAACAACCAACAAAAGGGCAAATACAAACATCTATAACTTCAAAAAGACAGGCATAAAATGAATGCCCCATGTGATGGCACACACCTTTAATCCCAGTCCTCAGGAGACACAGGCAGGTGAATTTCTGACCAGCTTGGACTACACAGTGACTTCTAGGCAGGCAGGGACTAGGGAGACCCTGTCAAACAAACAACAAAGATGGGCACAGGAAAAACAAAGTAACCAATAAATTTATGTGCTTTAAAATACTAGGGAAAATAAAAAGACAGTTAAAAAAAAAAGGAGGAAGTCAGGCATGGTAGCCCACATCTTAAATCCCAGTACTAGGGAAGGCAGAAGGAGACCCTATTTTAAAAAAAAAGGAAAAAAAAGAAAATGACACATTCCAAGGGACAGCTAACCTGGTTTGTGGTCTGTTTTTGTCTGGTTCATAAAAAATAATGCTATTAAAAGTGAGTTACATTTTTTTGTTTTTTTTTTTTTTTGAGACAGAGTCTCCCAGCTGACCTGTAACTTGCTATTTAAACCAGGCTGGCCTCAATCTCAGAGATCTGCTTGGCTCTGCCTCCTGGTGCTGGGATTAAAGGCATGTGCCATCATAACTACCTGAAAACCATTTTCATAAAAAAAATTTATTATGTTTTTAATTTAAAAAAAATTTTTTTTCTTCTTTTTCGGAGCTGAGGACTGAACCCAGGGCCTTGCGCTTGCTAGGCAAGCACTCTACCACTGAGCTAAATCCCCAACCCCAATTTTAAAAAAATTTTTGTGTATGAGTGTTATGCCTACATGTAGGTAAGTGCACCCCTGCTGTGCAAAACCGAGGAGGACAGAAGAGACCGTCAGAGCCCCTGGAACTGGAGTTACGAACAGTTGTTAGCTGCCATGTGGGTGTTGGGATTCGAACCCGGGTCTTCTGCAAGAACAGTCAAGTGTTCTCAACCACTGAGCCATCTCTCCAGCCCCAAATCATTTTTTTAAAGCTTAAACAAAACTAAAACCTCAGGATGTGGCAGAGCATACCTATAATTCTAGCACTCAGAAAGCTGAGGCAGGACTATCTGGATCTTAAGAGTTTTAGGTCTACCTGGGCACTAGACCAAACGAGTCACGTCCCTAGCTCCCAATATTTTTTTATTTTTTACTCTGAGACAGGGTCTCAATAAACTGTCAAGGAAGATTTTGAACTTGCCTCCTGATTCAATCTCCAGAACAGCTGGGAGACAAGACACAAACTGAAATGCCAAGTACAGACTTGCAATCCCTTTCTACGGCCTAGGAATCCACAAAAATGTAAAAACTGAAAAGGCTTTTTTCCTTATAAGCATACAGCAAACTCATTTGGCAACAAACTCTGACCTCAGGGCTGGTGAGATGGCTTGGAGGGTAGAAGCACCCACTGACCTAAGTTCCATTACTAGGACTCAAGGTGGAAGGCAAACCAACTCAAGTTGTCCTCTGATCGCCACAGACTGCATCATGGAACATGTGTGTCCACACACATACACAAATAAATAAATGTAATAATAAAAATAATTTAACCTGGGCATGGTGGCACACCCTTTAATCCCAGAAACATGGGAGGCAGAGGCAGGAGAATCTCTGAATTCCAGGCTAGCTCTGGTCTACATACTGAGTGCTCGGCCAGGCAAGATGCATATTGAGACCATGTCTCAAAATAAATCATGAAATTTTTTTTTCTAAATTTGGTCAGAACTGCCTGAGGCTATAAGTTGTTTTTAAATATAATTTAGTGTACATATTTGTTTCCCTAAAGAAATTATGTATCGGAGGCAGGCAAGATAGCTTACTGGGGCACTTGCCACAAAGCCTGAGTTTGATCCCTGGAACCCAAATGTTCAAAGAGGAAGTCTCCCCCACAAGTTGCCCTCTACCTTCTACACAAGCATTGCAGCACCCCGCCCCGCCCCCCCCGCAATAAATAAATGAATAGTTAAAAAAGAAAATGCCTGCTTGCAAAGTGCTACCTCAGGTATGTGGTGTAATCTACAGGAGGTTTAAAAAAATTTTTTGAGCTGGACACAGTGATGCATGCCTTTGATCCCAGCACTTGGGAGGCAGAGGCAGGAGATCTCTGTGAGGCCAGCCTGGTCTAACTTAGTGAGTCACAGGACAGCTAGGGCTACAGGGAGACCCTGTCCTCAAAAAAAAAAAAAAAAAAAAGCCCAAAACAACAACAAAAATCTGAACTCAGAAGAACTTTTGTCCTCTGGAATAGAAATGACAAATGCACCCGACCCAACCACCTGGAGGCAAAGATAAAAGCTACTGCAACTGGAGGCCACCCAGGATTTCTTAGGACCAAATTCTGAGTCAATGAAGAATGGGGACCCAGCTCACATGAAAACAGCAAAGAGACGGAGATATGATGTGGGAAAGAGTGGACCAGGAAACTGACATTAGATTATCGTTTCCTCAGAACTGGCTGAACTGTTCTAGAACTTAAGTGTACAAATAAGAAGCCACTAAAATTTTAAAGAAAGCAGAGTGCGGAACTTTGAGCTGGTAAAGGTTTACAGAATGGAGCTGGGGAGAACTGTTCAGATACCATTTTTTAAAAACTTTATTATTTTAAATTTTTGAGTATAAGGGTATTGCTTGCATGTATGTAAGTGCACCTATATCACATCAAAGTCTAGATGTCAGAAGAGGGTGTTCAATCCCCTGGAACTGGAGTTACAGTTTAACTGCCATGTGGGTGCTGGGAATCGAACCTGGGTCCTCTGCATAGTAGTCAGAGCTCTTAACTGCTGAGCCATCTCACTAGCCCCCCAAAACAGACACCATTTTTAAAAGGATGAAGTCATATATAGGAACCAGACACACAGAGCTAGATGATTTATACACTACGTCAGTTATTACAAACAAAAGTCTTATATGTAACTCAGTGGCTAAGTTACTTGCTTCCAAGACACACATGGTTAATAAAGACAGGTCACTTTCAAGTCTGACTGACTTTCACAACTCTACCCTTTGTCTATTCCCAAGGCAGTCTCTAAACGCACAAGGCAGGGCAGGACTGGAGAACACAATAGAAAGGTTGAAGTCAAAAACATGGTGGTGCACAGGATGTGGTGGCCCATACCTTTGATCCCAGCATTTGGGTGACAGAGGCAGAAAGGGCAGAAAGGTGTCTGTGAGTTCAAGGTCAGCCTGGTCTACATAGCAAGTTCCAGGCCAGCTGAAAAAAAACCCCGTTCAAAAAAAAAAAAAAAAAAAAAAAAAAAAAAAAAAAACCCTAAAACTTTCAGCTATGTTTTGTTTTGACAAAGTCTCATGCTGTAGCCCAGGCTGGCCTTCAACTTGCAACAATCCTCCTGCTTAGCCTAAATGCTGGGATTAAAGCCATAAACTACCACAGCCAGCTAAACTTTCATCTTTACACACAACGCTCTCTAACCCCTGGCATCTGCTTGCTCCCTCTCAGCAGTCAGAAACCAGGACTTTCTAAGAACTTATCTCTTCTTTAAATTATCCCAATTCTCCTTACTGCAGTCCTTTCCCTTGGTTAGAAAAGGGTTTTATCACAAGGAAAGTTAACAGACTGAGTTCAATAATAGATCCTACCACCTGTCTTTTCACACCTAACCAGAGAGTACATGCTACAGGGGAGTATCAAGTCCTACTTAACACAATTTACTGATGCAACAATACCTTCACTGCCATTTTTGTATCAAAAGTTTGGAATGCTACAGATCACACCCTTCATCCCTTTGGAGATTCACAATATACAGCATCTTGAAGGCTTCAAGAATTCAGGCCAGGTGTGGTGGCGCTCTCCTTTAATTCCAGCACTCGGGAGGCAGAGGCAGGCGGATCTCTGTTAGTTTAGAAGGCCAGCCTGGTCTACAGAGCGAGTTCCAAGCTAGCTGGGGATACAGGGAGACCTTGTCTCAAAAATACCAAAAAAAAAAAAAAAAAAAAGGGGGGGGGGTGTGCTTCAAGATTTCAAAGCTATCAGTTTACTTTAATCCAGAGTTTTTCCCACTATCAGGCCACAGAATCCCTTTTCTGTGGAACACATTTTGGAAAGTGGTGATTTAGTCAATTCATTTAACTATACATTCTGGGTACGAAAAAATGCATATGTTACAAAATAATGAGAATCTGTTGCTGCCAAGGAAAATCGTTTACATCAGTTATCTGCAGTGGGCCTGGTCTTTCTTTGCCACGCACAAATGTATTCTACCTTTGGGAATTCATGCAAGGCAAGGGCATGTATTGATAGAGATCACTGAGACTTATTTAGTTGGATTTAAGTGCACTCCTCAGTAAAACTGCATTTCCCTATGTTAATTATATTTCTCCATCACTTGCATGTTTTTCATTCTCATTTATTTTTATTTTATGTGGGAGTGTTCTGCCTATATGTATGTAAGTGCACCTGTGTTGTGCAAAGCCCAGAGGCCAGAAGAGGGCATTGGATCCCCTGGAACTGGAGTTACAGATGGCTGTTAGCTGCCATGTGGGTGGGTGCTGGGAATTAAAACTGGGTCCTTTGCGAGAGCAGCCAGTACTCTTAACCACTGAGCCATCTCTCCAGGCTACTTGCATGCTATTCAACTAAAATTTCTTAGATTGCTCACAATTACTTGTATTAAAAATCCAGGAGCTGGGGCTTGAGATGGCTCAGTGGTTAAGAGCACTTGCTTCTCTGCAGAGGACCTAAGCCTGGTTCTCAGCACTCATAATGGGCAGCTCACAACCACCTGCAATTTCAGTTCTAAGGGCTCCAACACCACCTTGTGGCCTCCACTGGCACCCCTACACATAGGGCATTCATTCACAAAGACAGACACAAATACACATTAAAAAATAATAATAATAAAGCTGGGAGAGGTGGTACACGCCTTTAGTCCCAGCACTCAGGAGGCAGAGGCAGGTGATTCTCTGTTGAGTTCAAGGCCAGCATGGTCTACAAAGCAAGTTCTGGGCCAGTTGGGCTACAGGGAGACTGTCTCAAAAAAAGAAAAAGAAAAAAAAAAAAAAAGAAAAAAAGATGGGCATGGTGGTTGTACGCCTTTAATCTCAGCGCTCAGGAGGCAGAGACAGGTGGCTCTGTGAGATTGAGGCCAGCCTGGTCTATGTAGTGAGTTCAAGGCCGGCTGGGGATACCAGGAGACCTTGTCTCAAAAAGAGAAAAAAATTGCAGTCTCTATTCCCTCTACCTGGAATGTTCGTTCTGTCTCCCTGGTTTTTCCTGGACAGTCCTGCTCAAATGTCACTTTCAGAGAAACCATCTCCATCTGTCACACCATTCTGTCATGTCATTAGTGCCCCTCCACTAGAATACAGGCTCCCCAAGGGGGGGGGTGTATTTTTTGTTTCTTCACTGTATTCCCAGAGATTAAGTAGATGTCATGAAGTTGTAACAAATCAATTCCACAAGTAGAGCACTACTCACCCACCCACCTATTCCTGTGTAGGAAGTGATTTCCCCAAATCCCAGTCCTCAACTAGAAGAAATCAAAGCAGCTAAGATCCAGAAAAAAGTTATTTGTACTGATGAAAAGAAAGCATTGGGTGTGGTAGCCCACACTTGTAGAAAAAAATGGGAGAATTTGAGGCCAGCCTGGATTAGAGTTGAGGCTAGCCTGAGCTTCATGAGATCTTGTCTCAATCAATCAAAGACACGGGTCAGTGGAGAGACTTAGGTACATGTAAGAACCTCAAGAGTTATTCCTCCTGAAGATTTAGAGACAGTCAAGAAAGGTCCCCCCATGGGCCATGGGAGCTGAAGACAAAAAGAACATTGGTGGAATCCAAGAGTAAAGAGGAGACCCCCTTGACATCTCCATGAAAAGGTAACACTAGTGCACCCCACGTGTGGCACATGTGAGACATAGCAATAAAATACAGCAATAAATAAACAAGAAAGGTAAATCCTTGTCCTCGAAAAGCCTAGATCCTAGCAGTTGATAAAGACAAGAAACAAACAGCAAGCAATTACATAGACAGTAAACGTCGAGACCGTGGGCAGAGGAACTTGAAGGACAGAGAGCCAGGTCTGAAGCTGGCTGCTTCCAAGGACACAGAAAGGCAGGAGGAGCAAAGGATCTAAGGCAGGAACGGGTTTGGAATACTTAGGTCAGGCCGGCAAGGCTACGGTAGCTAAGGTGGGCGACAGTCAACCCAGGCGCCCCAAGCGAACAAGTCGGCAGGTCGCAGAGCAAGGCAACGAGGCAGACTGAGGTACTACCATCATTTCGCAAGTAGGGAAATGCAAGTCTGAGGTCACGGTAAGGATCTGGGTTCTATCCCGAGCACATTTAAAAGGCAAAGTTTCGCGGAGAGGCGATGACCCGCCCTGAATGACATTCCTAGGGAAAGACTGTGCAACGAGCCAAACCATGCAACTCCAAAGCCCGTGCGCCCCAAGAAGGGGGAAACCCCATCTGAATGTGCGTTTGTGTCCCGAGGCCCAAGTCCACCGCGCTGGAGGCAGAAGACCAGGGAAGCCAGAGCGGGGCCACCAGCACCCAGGATCCGCCGGCCAGGCTAGGCCAGGCCTCGCCGCACACCACTCACGCTATGGGGCCGGCGCGCAGAGAACGGACGCGCGGGCGCCACCAATCAGCAGCCGCCTCCTAGGCGGCGCGGCCAATTAGCGCGGCGCTGGGAGGGAAGGGGCGGGACCTGGGGCGGCTAGCGCTAGGCCGAGCCTCTAGCTGCCTCTCGCCCTACACAGACCTCTGAGCCGCCCAGCCCACCTAGGGCCTGAGGCAGCGACGAGGCGGCGAGCGGGAAAGCGCGTCCCGGGCGCGGCCTCAGGCGAAGGCCCGGACTCTGCTGCCCAGCGCTCGGAAGAGCCGAGAGCGCCTCGTCCCCTCCCTCCGCCCGGCCCCAACAGTCACCCGGTTAGCCGCGCGCCTCACCTCGTGGGGATACGGAGACGGAGGAGGGAATTCCAGGCGCGGGCTGCAGCCGGCACTACCCACTCCAAACGCTGCTCCGCCTCACATTCAAACCCCTGCAAAATGGCGCGGCCGTGAGGCGGCGGCCACAGCGCATGCGCGAGCGAGGCCGCGGCGCGGGGCGGGGCTATGAATGCCTTGGCCCCACCCAGACTGAGAGGACTAATCGGAACCACGCAGCTCGGAGGTGGCGTCAGAATTGACGCTGCCCTTTGGCTCAGGGCACTGGCTCGGGTTTTTAGGCTGAGGCAGTGACTTGCTGCGTGTCTCCCCTCGGGACTGTTGGACCGACTGTCCGTATATCAGAGAAAGGAAACTCCATCCCCTCATGGAGCATCTATTCTAAGAGGACCGGAATCAGCCAGTGATGAAGGATTTCAAGCAGGGCGCTACCTCAATTCCTAAAATGATAGCCACGCAAGCGTGAAGACCTATTATGTTCGGATCACCCAGCACCCATGTAAAAGCCATTCTGGGCCGCCCGACTGTAATCCCAGCGCTGGGGAGGCAGAGGCTAGAGGATCATCATCCTTGGGGTTTGCTGGCCAGCCAGTCTAGCTATTCATTCTGTGAGGTCCGAGTTCAAGGAGAACTCCTGCTTCCAAAAACAAAAGTGGAGAGCAATTGAAGACACCCTTGTCTTCTTACAGACACTCCATGCCAGTCACTGACCAACACACACACCACCACCACCAACCGCCACCACCAACCACCACCACCACCACCATCATCACCACCATCACACAACTTCAGAAACCTAAAAGGATTTCAAAAGCTAGATATGGTAGCACATGCCTATAATCTCAGCACTCGGGAGGCAGAGGAAGGAGGAGCATCATAAATTGAAGGCCAAATTGGTTTACATAGTGACTTTGAAGCCAGCAAGGGCTATGCAGAGAAATCCTCTCAAAAATTTTTCTTGCTGATGATGTAACAGGTGGTGACTTGGAAAGTAAGTGAATGATCAGGGAAGGCCCCCTGAACAAGAGAAAATGGAGCTTTCAAAAACACCAGTGGACTTCCCCTGCTAAAAAAATAAAAAACATGAGAAGAGGTGCTGGAGAGATGGCTCTGGCTCAGAGGTTAAGGGCACTTGCTGCTCTTGCAGAGGACCTGGGTTCTGTTCCCAGCACCCACATGGCAGCTAATAATCATCTGTAACTCCTCTTCTGGCCTCCAGTCTACTGGCATTGCATGACACTACTGTATTTAAATACATGCAGGCAAAACACCCATACACATAAAAAAAATTTTTAATGAAAACAAAAAACAGGAAATAGCTGTGTTACCATGAGCCTGGCAAGTTCTCAGGTCTTAGTGAAATGGCGTCAGCGAAGACCCTGGCTACATGAGACAGGCCTCAGCTGCCAGCTCAGCTGCCCACCTTCTGACTGTTCTTCCAGCTCCAAGCTTGCCCCACTTAACAGCACTGGCATTTGCTCCTCCCTCTGCCTGGAATGCTTTTCTAGATCCAATGACTGGCTTGTTCCCTGCATTCAGGTTGCATTGCAGTCACCAGAGATGCCTTCACCACCTGGAATTGTCCACTCCACCTTGACCCAACAGCACATTGTTTACACAGCTTAAAGATAGGATGCCTAAGTTAGCATGAGTTCTTTTAAAACAGGATCTCCCTGTAGTCCCAGCTGACCTAGAACTCAATATGTAGACCAGGCTGGCTTTAAACTCAGAGATCTGCCTGCCTCTACCTTCCAAGTGCTGGGACTAAAGCCGTGCGCCACTACATCTGGCCTAGTTGATAAATATTGTCAGTTCTGTTCCTCCAGAGAACCCTAATACATTGACAAGTCCATCTTTGTGGCTGTTAAAGCTCACTGGTAGAGTGCTTGCATAGTATGCATGAAGCCCTGGGTTTGATCCCTCCGGCACTGCATAAAAATCAAGCATGGTAACTCCAACAGTGGGTAGGTGGAGGCAGAAAGATCAGAAATTCAAGGTCATTCTTGGCTACATAGTAAGTTTAAGGCCAGACTGGGGTGTATGAGAGATCCTGTCTTAAAAGAAAGATTGGGAAAGCTGGGCGTGGTGGAGAGTGCATTTAATCCCAGCACTCAGGATGCAGAGGCAGGTGGATTGCTGTGAGTTTGACACCAGCCTGTTTACACAGCAAGTTCCAGGCTAGCTGGGGCTACAGGGAGACCCTGTCTTAAAAAGACCAGAAAAAAACATATGATACACTTACATATTTGCAGGCAAAATACTCATAAAAAACAAAGGGGCTGGTGAAGGCAAAGACTGGTGGCTCACACCTGTGCCTCAGCACTCTAAAGGCTAAGGCAGGAAAACTGACAAGTTTAATACCTATCTGGGCTACATAGAGAAATACAGGCCAGCCGGAGTTACAATGCAAAGACCCTATCCCAAAACAATAAAAGCAGGCATGGTGGTAAAGTAGTGGATCAGGAGTTCAAGGCCAGCTTGAACTACATGAGATCCTGTCTCAAACAAGTAAACATACTATACTACTATACTACTGACACAAGAGGTGCCTGGTGGTGCAATATTAACAAGTCTGATAGGGCCTAACAAACTGCTTTCTGATTGAAACTGAGGCCCACTCCACAGCATAGAATTCACATCTAGTACAGAAAATTTGGTCAAAAGTTCATGGCTGGGGGATGGAGAGACAGCTCAGTGGTTAAGAGCACTGGCTGTTCTTGCAGAAGACCCTGGTTCAGTTCCTAGCAACTCCAGTTCCAGGGGATGTGACGCCCTCTTATGGCCTCTGTGGTCATTACACAACATCGGTGTTCTTACATACATGCAAAGCAGATACACGTTAAAAAATAAAATAAAAATAAAGCCGGGCGTGGCGGTGCACACCTTTAATCCCAGTATTTGGGAGGCAGAGGCAGGTGGATCTCTGTGTTTGAGGCCAGCCTTGTCTATATAGCAAGTTCCAGGGTAGCTGGGGTTACAGGGACCCTGTCTCAAAAAGACCAGAAAAATAAAAAGCCCATGGCTGGAAGGTCACAGGCCCCAGTGGGGAAGCGACAGCCACTGTTCTGCTAAATGGCAGTGATTTGTTTCTCCCACAGATGGGTGCTGCTGTCAGCTTCAGTCAGAGAAGCTTCTTTTTGCAGTTGGTAACTGCAGATTCCTAACTGGTCAGCGTGATGAGAACAAGTTCAATGCTCAGCCATGAACAGGGCCATCTCTATCACTCACTCCTAGGCTCAGGGACCATTGTAGAAGAGAGGGCAGAATGTAAAAGCTGGAGGAAGGGGTGGTGGTGTGGAATGCAGTCTTCTGGGCATCACAGATGCTCTTAAGTGCATAGCTGCTGAGATTACCTGTGAACCAGCATGCCAAGAATGAGGCTGTGCTAGATCCTTGTGTCCCTCCATTGACTACTGACTACTGAAGCAATGGACCCCAAGAAAGTAGAATTTCCCCAGGAATCTCGTGCTGAGAAATAAAAAATTTTACTAAAGCCTGGGCCAACCAGAGGGGAAACTTTTCTCCCTGAAGGAAATTTATAATTTGTCAGGTCATTCTGCAAGGGAGTGGAACAGAGAATAGGGATGAGAGTCAATGATAGGCAGGCCACACCTTGACCTTGACTGCTGTTGTGCATATCTCTTGCTTTCTTTTTTTCTGAGGCAGGGTCTCCCTGTAGCACCAGCTAGCTTAGAACTATGTACACCAGGCTGGCCTCCATCTCAGAGATTCTCCTGCCTCTGCCTTCCAAACCCTGAGATTAAAGGTATGTGCCACCATGCCCAGCTCATTTTTTTGTAATTTTAAATTTTTTTGTGTGGAGTGGGGCATATGTGTGAAGGTCAGAGGCCAACTTTGCAGAGTCCATTCTTCTCCCACCTCCCTTACGTGGGTTACCGGGACTGCAGGACAATGCTTCTTACCACTGAGCCATCTCCCCTGTTGAGAAGCCAAATTGTACCACCAGCTGGAAACACTTTTTAAAAAAAAATTTGGGGGGCTTTACTTTTATGTGTATGTGTGTACTGCATGCATGTATGCAAGTGCACTCGTGTCATTCAATGCCCGTGTAGGTCAGAAGAGGGCATCAGATCCCCTGAAACTGGAGTTATGGATGGTTGTTAGTCACCATGTGGGTGCTAGGATTCGAAGCTGGGTCCTCTGCAAGAGCAGCCAGTGCTCTTAACCACTGAGCCATCTCTCCAGCCCCAGAAAGTCTGTACCTGCCACAACAAACTCAAGCCCACCCCAAACCCATGGCTTGATACATATAATTATTCCATTGGAAGCTGCTTTACTTTTTAAAATTTTATTGTTTTCCACCTGATCAAAGCATGGGGTATTTTATCAGTATTATACATAATATTTTTACATAGAAAACTTTACATAGCATTTCATATTATATAATTCTGCTTTATTCTTTCAAAAATGTTTACATCCATTGGGCAAGGAATGCTTTTCATTAAATTACCAATATTAAATGCACTTAATCATTGTGTAGATTAAATCAAAGTAGCTAGTAACTAACTTTTAGGCATTTAAGAGGTAAGACAATTTTGCACATAAAGAAATATTTGATGCAAATATGCAGATAAAATTTTTTAAAAATTAGAACACTGAGAAAAACCACACCTTTCAGAGTGTCATTTTTTGAGAGCAAGGATTTCCAGATAGATTCATTCTTTAAAATATTCAGCTTTGGTTTCTTCATTTCTCAAACTGCAAAGCTGCTGGTAGCAAAACTCCAGGTTTCATGTGAGTTCAAGCTACGTCCACCTCAACACAGTGAAACAATTCAGAAGGATCCAGCATCCACTGAAACGAATATCCATTCGCACGCTAACAATAAACACCTGAGTTGGGTGGTCACATTGGTCAGCGGGTTCTTTTCATAGCTATAAGGATGACTAAATGGATAGCCATAATCATGAAACAACAAAAAATGTTTAGATTTTTGTCTTCATAGTTTTTCTGCATTTTGTAGAAAAGTCACCTGTCGAAGGAAAGTGTCTCTCCAGACATTACTGCACAGCTTTCACACGTTCTTTGGTTGTACGTGATGAGAACAAGGAAAAAGTGTATCTGACTAAAGTGCATGTTAGAAAGCAAAATGCCCAGCCGCTGTTTGTTGTCAAGATGCCAGAGCTGGTGATTTCCTTAACAGACAATGCAGACAATAACAGAAACTTGAAGACCCAGCATGTAGAATCAACACTTAAAGCATTTTGATAAAGAAATAAGGCCTGGGAAGATGCTCCACCCTCCTCCCTGAAGCTGCACCTCTGCCTCGCACTTTGCACCACTGTCTGAGCAGTTCAAGCCACATTGGCCATGAGAAAACAGATTTGTTCACAAGAATTTATACTGCATGGCTTATTACTGGAGGTCAGGGAAGCCACTGTCCACTGACAAGAAAATTTACCCTGAATGGCTTTACATCCAGCTTTTAAAAGGTCCACTGCTGTGCGATTAAAATGTCTCATTCAGAAAAGTCAATCTTTTACATGACAAAATTATAAAGAAATTCTAGTGTGAATATCTCAGTAAGTAATAAAATACACTGATATTTCCTACCCTGTAAGGGACAAAAGAGAAGGCAGGGGAATGCTGGGAAAGTATAGACAAACAATGCCCTACGACAGGGAAAGCCACCAACCAGGGATGTAACTTACGCACGATGTGCTCACTGAACGTGGGTGCATGCTCCCCGCTTGGTATGGGGAAATACTGTGAAGACCGCTGATGGTTGCGCTTGTACTGGACAGCCACACCAGGGGGTGTCTCCCAAATACAGGTTCACAGACAGTATAAAGATACAACAGATTCCAGGACATGTCAGTCAAACGTGCTCACTCTTTCCATTCCCAGTCAAGTATTCGCCTACAATCCCTCCCTGCAAGTTATACAGCTCTCGGCTGATAACAACCTAAATCTGCTGTTTTTCTTTGGTAGAGAAATTAAAATACTTTTTGGAAAAGAAAAAAAAAAAAACCATGAAGTCCTGCGAGCCAAACTAAACAAGTCATAAGGCTATTAAAAACAGAAGAGAAAACAAGAAGTCTCAGTAAGCAAAAGCACCAGGAATCTTCTAGAAAGAAAACAATATCTGATTTTACAGACACATTGCCAACAAATAACTAACTTCTAAGGCACCAGAGTGGACATCACTACAACCCGATTCAGACTTGATGCAGGCAGCATGAAGTCTCAACGCTCTCCATGACAAGACTTAGTGCTGCACTGCTCTAGGTGAGCAGGGTGAGGGGAGAATGCTGAATGTTTGCTTTCTCTGGACTCAGAATAAATTAATTCTAGATCTACTGCTGCGGGCTTTGGGCGCACTTGGAATTTGTTCTCCTGAAGTTCAGCCACGACGCCATTACCAACAAAAGGACCCTCGAATCTAATTACCTCCTGGGCTCAGGATAACACGTGCTAGGCACCTGCCACCTTGCTGTTGCCACAGCTTGCCTGTGCTGGCCCCACAGTGGCTCTCAATGTCTTCATGACACAGGGCTGAATGGAGCGACTTTCTCACACTCTTACCGTCCCTCTCTCTGAGGGTCCCTTTAACTGGGACTGTGCAAAGCAGTGATGCTGGATGCGTGCATACTCACTCTTCTGAGGTAAAAATAAAAAGGTTTACTCAAAGGTAAGTGAACTCTGGGTAAAGCATCACTTCCTTTTCATGACTACTTCATTTCTTGACTTCAGAGTGTGGGATGCACAATGCATTCTGGAAACTTTAATCGAATACTCATCCACAAATACTTCAAAGAAGGCTAACCACCTTCATTAAATTGTTGACTTTTTCCTATTGACTTTTTTCCCCAAGTTACTAACACAGGGACAGCCATGAAGCTCTACATTTTTTACAAACATTGCAAATGCTTTAAAAACTCTACTAAACTCTTCCTTCAATCAAATCTTCAATAACATCTCTTTGTAAAATACTTTAAAAAAAATCACTCAGACGTTAACAAAACAGAACATAAAAAAAGACCTTCCTTTTACCTACCTTTCCCCCAAACTAATCTACCTATGGCTGACCTGTAACTGACAAAAGCACTCAAGCTTCTCTAACACATTCAAACAACAAAACACCCAGCGTACTAGGTGGCAGTTAGCCATGACAGGAAAATTTTATTAACATACTCTCTAATAAACACAGACCTATACAGCTATGTTCACTATTTTCAAGAAGAGTGACATCCTCTGACAAAATATTTACCACCAGTTACAGAACTCTACTAGGAAACGGTGGCATTCGCAAGGACAGAGTTGACAGCTCAGTCAGGAAAATGGAATGTGAGAAAAAAACAATTCCTCACCCACTGTGTTACCGGTATGAAACATGTAACGAGACACTGTAAGCCTCATCTGGGGGTGGGAAGAGGCCACTGCTACCCAGGCCCTTCCCAAAGCCAAGATGGTGGTCAGCTCCTCATCTGCATGTGACCCCTCATGAGACATGCCAGTTAGAGATGGCATGGTGGGTGTTCTGCAGAGTTGCAGTGGCTGAGGGAGCCAGGGCTACCACGTTAATGACAGTGCCACTGGCTCTTGAGATGGCTCTTCTGGAATCCATATCTTGTAGACAACTCCTATCCGCAGGAAAAACTTGCGCAGAACTGCTCGGAGCTCAGGGATCAGGTCAAACTGCATAATTTCACACAGGTAGGGGTAGTACATTGATGCATGTGCTTTGAACTTGCAGTGAGGGAAAAGCAGAAAGTAAAATTAGACATGAAACTTTTTTGGTACCACTTTTTCAGAACTATTCAGCTTAATCCAAAACTTTTTTTCTTTTTTGGTCTTTTTTGAGATAGGGTCTCCCTGTAGCCCCAGCTGGCCTCGATTCACTATGTAGACCAAGCTGGCCTTGAACTCAGAGATCTGGCTGCCTCTGCCTCCAGAGTGCTGGGACTAAATATGTGTGCCACCATGCATGTACAGCAACTCTAAATTTTCTACAATATCGCTGCTTTTTCTTGTCATTAGAAACTTGTTGCAGTTAAAACCTATGGTAGCTGGATACCAACAATCTCAGTACTCAAGCGCTGGAGGCAGGATGATCAGTTCAGCTATACACTAAGTTCTAGGTCAGCCTGGGCTACAGGAAACACCGGTCTCAAAACAAAAACTCCTACAAGCAACTCCCCATTCTAATTATGTCGAAGTAATCTTGCTACCAAAAGTCAACAGTCCTTTCTATTTTGTAAGCTGTTCCTAGTCTAAACCAGCAACACACAGTTATCAATCCTGCCTACCCACACTGACAAGCACTGTAACTGTCCCCAACAGCCACACACGTGGTTTACACTTCAGTCCCTCTCAACTGGGGTTTTTAAAAAATATATATATTTTGGGCTGGAGAGATGGCTCAGCGGTTAAGAGCACTGACTGTTCTTGCAGAGGACCCAGGTTCAATTCCCAGCACCCACATGGTGGCTACAAACCATCCTTAACTCCAGTTCCAGGGGAACCCAAAGCCCTCTTCTGACCTCTTAGGCATTACACATGGGTACACTTACATACATGCAGGCAATACACTCATACACATGAAAAAAAAATCCATCTATCTATCTATCTATCTATCTATCTATCTATCTATCTATCTATCTATCTATTTTAGTATTTTTATTTCATGTATATGAGTATTTTGCCTCCATGTGTGCAATGCCAGTGGAGGCCAGAACAGGGCATTGGATCCCCTGGAAGAACAAGAAATGCTCTTAACAAGTGAGCCATCTCTCCAGCCCCTCAACTGGGTTCTTGAGAAAAATCCCTATTATCTGAAAACACCCACTGTTTGTAATGAACTGTCTCCAATGTGCCTCAAATGGCACTCGCTATGGAAGTGTCCTTGGGAGAAACTGGACGTCACTTCAATCAGAGTATTAACACCCGCCCAACCATGGCCCAGAGGAAACATCAGAGTTTACTTGTTTGTACCTTTTCATCATTTATTTTGAGGGTTTTGGTTAGAAGTAACAACAGGAGACTTGTCCAGGCTTCCCGATGGCTTTCAGAATTCACTGTAATGAAGTAGCCAAGCGCTTCGCTGCACACACTAGAATTAAGATGCAGGCATGTCATGACAGTAGGCTGGCACTCCACATTCAGTGGAGACCTACAGACTTCTACACTGCAGGTTTATTGAGCCAGCATGGGCAGACCACTGAGCCCTAGTTTCTTCAGCTATAAAATGAGATTGTAGGGGGCACTGAATGAACTAAGTTTCTCAAATGATAATTTGGCTGGGTCCTGGCACATGGTTGGTGTGGGGCTCAATCAGTGTTTGTAGTAAATCAGCACAAGAAGAATTTACATATTATGCTATGGCCTTGATGTTGAGACAGTAGGTAATGTGCAGGTAATTCTCTCTGGGGCTTGATTTAAGAAATGAGCTGGGCCTGGGGAGGATGAAGCAGGAAGATTATGAGTTCAAGACCAGTCTGAGCTACATAGGGAGACTCTGTTCCAAGGCAAGGTGGGGAAGAACCACTGTGTTCTCTTAGTTCTTCTCTCAGCTAACATTTGTTAATGCAAGGTGTGATGGCAGACGCTTGTAATCTCAGCATTTAGGAGGTAGAGGCAGATTTAAGAGTTCAAGGTCATGTGTTCCTTTGCTAATAAACTCTATTCTGCTGGAGTTTATTAAAAAAAAAAAAAAGAGTTCAAGGTCATCCTTGGCTACACGGTCAATTTGAAGCTAGCCTGGGCTACATGAGACTCTCAAAAAACAAACGACTTGTTAATTATGTATTCTCACCGTAAGACAACTGGTAAGTGCAAAAAACCATAACAAAAACTTAAGAAGGAAAAAAATTCATCACTTTAAGGGACACATGACAATGTTTTAGCCTAGTTCTTTTTTTTTGGAGGGAGGGGGGCTAGGAAATTAATCTAGGGTGTCACATATGCTAGGCAAGTGCTTTACCGCTGTACTATAGACCCAACCCCCCAAATGGCTACAGATACTCCATGATAGGAACACACTGTTATTCATTTATCCATCTGATAGTCAGGAGCCACAAAATGATCGCTGTCAGTATACATTACCACTAGCTGTGCTGGAGACTGCTGCCTTACCTCATGGTGGCCAGTACTGTGTGTTACTGTCTTTATATATTTCAAAGGACTAAAGGGAAACTCAGGGAACTTGGGGTATAGCTCAGAGCTACAGAGTGTACTTAGCCTGTGCCAGACCAAATTCACACCATACATCAAAGGAAAAAAAAAAGAAGAGGGGAGAAAAAAAAAGGCTTGGACAACAACCTTCTGGTGACATCCAGGAAACAGAAAGTATGTTTTGTCTGGGATGTTCTCACTGGTGTGCCAATGCCTTCCCATTGGTGCATTTCTGTATGACTGATGCAAGTATATCCTGTTATCTCTGTGACTCATTCTTCTGGGAAAGAAGGAATGGCAGGATGCCAGAGTTGACAGCAACTCTTTGGACTGCCTGCCCAATGCCTTTGGTTACCAGCCACAGTTAGGATTCCCCTCAGCCTGAGGATTCAGAGGTCAGAGCACTTTTCACTGCCTGAGGGTTAGGGTTTAGGAGAGAAGCAGAGCAGCCCTGCTGGCTCTCTTCAGGACATGGGAACATGGAATGGGAGGGGCAAACAGAACAGAAAGCAGTCCAGGGGTGCCAGTGTTTTTCTCCTAGCTTTTCAATTCATAGAACTGTGACATGTAAGTCAATGGGAAACCAATCTCACGTTAACAGTCGCTGCTGTATTTCACGCCAGGAATCCTTGCGGTTCTCATCGACATACATTCGAAACAGGATCCTCAAGCAACAGGCCAGGCTGCTGGTTTCTTGTTTGAGAAGATTGGGTTTAGACTTGCCCTTAAAGCCTAGAGAAGAGACAATCATGTCAGCAGTGCATGCTGCTGGCCAGGATAACGCTGAGATACTGTGGGAGCCATCTTCTGGTTGTGTCAGGAGATAGGGAAACATCTCACAGCCTTCACAGCTTGACTGTGGATCCAACGGTGGAGGTCATGACTCCCCAGGTCTTCTCTCTGTGTGGATGCCCTGCTTCCTCCACTTAGACTTGCTTGGTGGCTGGTAAAATTATTAGTTTCTTTCTCGCAACCCCAAGAGCTCTTAACAATTCTAGCATTTTTCTAACTGCAGAATGTTTGTGCCAAAGCACATAAGAACACAGTTTTGTTTATTTGTTTGTTTGTTTTTGGTCTTTTTTGAGACAGGATCTCCCTGTAGCCCCAGCTGTCCTGGAACTCACTATGTAGACCAGGCTGGCCTTGAACTAACAGAGATCAGCCTGCCTCTGCCTCCTGAGTGCTGGGATTAAAGGCGTGTACCACCACACCTGGCAAGAACAGTTTTTAAAGTATACCAATATGGTATGGCAACCACTCTCATAAGCAAAGACTTACTGTAGGCATTCCAATTGTGGTTTAAAACCGTCATTTGGAGTTGGGCATGATGGTGCACACCTATAATCCCAGTACTAAGGAAGCTGAGGCAGGAGGATTACCATGAGTTTGTGACCAGCCTGAGCTACCTAGCCAGTTCCAGGTTAGTCTAATAGCAAAACCCTGTTTCAATAAAACAAAACAAAACCCAAAAAAAATGCACTGGGGGGGGGGTATTACAGTAACGGTAACAAAAGTTACCTACACATCATGTTTCTGCTAAATTCAGAATAAAACTTTTACCAACACCCATGGAGAAATATAAAAATATTACACAAAACAGGCATATATTTATCCCAGCATGTACATAATTATTTTTGGAAGAATAAGTGGAATACTTTAAGTCCCCCAAAATGCACAAATGCTTTATGTCTCTTAGGATCACCAAACTCTTCACTGTACTTTATTTAACTTGTAATTTAATGTCAAATTTCATGACTTGAAAGAATGATTGAATTCTCTACTTTCATCTTTTTTTTTTTTTTTAATTTTTTTGATACAGGGTCTGCCTGTAGCCCCAGCTGTCCTGGAACTCACTACGTAGACCAGGCTGGCCTTGAACTCACAAAGGTCCGCCTGCCTCTGCCTCCCGAGTGCTGGAATTAAAGGCATGCACCACCATGCTCTGTCTCAACTTTCATCTTTTTATTTCATGGAATTTATCATGAGCCAGGCAGTTACCTGGCATAAAAGTATCTAGGAAAGCCGGGTTCATAGTGCATGTCTTTAGTCCCAGCACTTGGGAGGCCGAGGCAGGCAGATCTCTGTGAGTTCAAGGCCAGCCTGGTCTACATAGTGAATTCCAGGCCATCTGGAGCTACAGGGAGACCCTGTCTCAAAAAGACCAAAGAAAAGAAAAGAAAAAAAAAGTATCTAGGAGGTTATTCTAGCTATGTTTTAAAATGTTCAGAAATCTAGTTCGATGTGGTGGCACAGTCCTTTAATCCCAGCATTTGGGAGGCAGAGGCAGGCAGATCTCTGTGAGACTAAGGCCAACCTGGTCTTCATAATGAGTTTTAGGCCAGCTAGGGCTATAGCGAGAGCCTGTCTCAAAAAGATTTAAAAAACCCAAAACTAGAAATTTCCCAAAGGCTTCAATGTTTCAAAATAGGGACCAGTATAGCCACCAAGCCTGTTTGCTGTGTCCTTACCTGCTCGCCAAAGGACAGTACGCTGCTCGTAATTGGAATTGAAGGCCTTTGAGAATGAATGAGACTCCTGCAGGCAGTCTAGCAGCTTGAAGAGGTGCTGGGAAGACATGTACTTGTACATGCCCTGATTCTCTGTCTCAATGTGGATGTCTGCATCCAATGTGTCTTGCTGGAGGAGAGACAGGAGAACTGAGTGAGTGTGGTGGGGACATTGTGATGGCAAACAAGGCAGGTCATTCTTGGAGCATTTCCACTTGGAGCTTGTCCCTAGCTGGTAAAGTCCTGTCCTGAGCCACTGTGCAGAGTGGGCTTGGCTGCCTGTCTCAGTGTTGCTAGTGTTGTCTTTGTTGCAAGCAGGAGTATATGTGCCCATTTTCACTAAATGATAAATTCAAATATGATAAAAGGCCTGAGTCCCAAGAGCAATTGAAAGGAAGCAGTAAGCAAAGCCCAGCCGGCTTCCTGCGCGCTCAAGCAGGCCAGTGCCTCTGCTGTCAGACCCAAGGGAAAAACCATTAGCAGGTACAAAACAACCCAAATTTTTGACAGGCGAGGTGGAGCACACCTTCAATCCCAGCACTTGGGAGGCAGAGGCAGGCATATCTCTGAGTGTTCAAGTCAAGCCTAGTCTACATAGTGAGTTGCAGGCCAGCTGGGGCTAGAGGGAGACAAAAAAACCCTCCAAATCTTCATTGAGTATGGAGCGTAAAGTCTAAAGTATGATTAGGAATTTCATAAATCTTCAGATTTCTAGTAGACACATCCTCTTTATAAGAGGTCACAGAAGGAAGATTGTTAAACCTCCCAGGTTGATCTATAACCTCAATGTAGTCCTCCTCAAAATCCTACCACTGAAGCCAGGCTAGGGGGCAAACACCCAGAATCTCAGCAGAGGCAGGATGATCAAAACTTCAAGGCTAACCTGGGCGACACAATGAGTTCCAGGCCAGTTTGAGCTACACAGCAAAACCCTATTTCAATAAGCTGATCCTAAACTTCATACTGAAGTACAGGTAATCTGGAATTTACAAAGTGTTCTTGAAAAAGTAGCACAAGGTAGGAGGGCTCACATTCCCAACCCCCAAAACATACTAAAGACCTACAGTACTACAGATAGTGTGGTACTGACACAGACACAGATCAATCAAATAGCACAGAGATGCAAGAAATAAACCCTGATATGGACTGGCAGGTGATTTCTATCATGAGTGCCATGAAAAATCACTGGAGAAAGATTTCGACAAACTGTGCTGGGGACAAATGATGATCATATGCCAGAGAGAGAAGCTGGGTTTCTTTCTTACATCACAAACAAGAAAGAACTAAAATATGTGTTAAAGATCGAAAAGAGTGATCACCATACAAAACTCTCCAAAACTGTTTTTAATTTTAAAAAAGTATTTTATTTTTGGGGGGCTGGAGAGATGGCTCAGCAGTTAAGAATACTGGTTGTTCTTGCAGAAGACCTAGGTTCAAATCCCAGCACCCATATGGCAGCTAACAACTGTCTATAACTCTAGTTAAGAGGATCCAAAAGCCTCTTCTGTCCTCCATGGGCACTGCATGACACAGGTGCACTTACCTACATGGAGGCAATACACATATAACATAAAAAAAATAAAATAAAATATTTAAAATATATATATTATTTTATTTTTAATTTTTTTATGTGTATGCATATATTGCCTGCCTGTATGTGCTCCCGTGTCATGCAATGGCCCCACGGACAGAAGAGACTGTCAGATCCCCTGGAACTGGAGTTACAGACAGTTGTTAGCTGCCATGTGGGTGCTGGGATTTGAACCCGGTCTTCTGCAAGAACAGTGTTCTTAAACTGCTGAGCCACCTCTCCAGCCCCTATATTTTATTTTTTCATGTATGAGTGTACTGCCTGCATGTATGTAAGTCACCTGTGTGTCTTGCAATGCCCAAGGAGGTAAGAGGACACCAGGGTCCCCTGGAACTGGACAGGTATTAGTCGCATGTGGGTGGACTCGAACCTCGGTCCTCTGCAAGATCAGACAATACTCTTGACCACTGGAGCCATCTCTCCGGCCCCATCCTATAAAAAACTCTTAAAACATAGTTCTATGGCCAAGTATGGTGAGGCACACCTATAATCTCAGCCCCTGGGAGGTAGAGGCAGGAGAATCTGGAGAACAAGGTCAGACAATGAAGTGATGACCACAGGAGAGCACTGGAGAGACTAGGACCACCATCCACTGCTGACAGTTATGATGGTGCAGCCATTTCCCAAACTTGGTAAACTTGAAATTTCTCAAAATGGTAAACACAGGGGGTCTTGAGTCCCGCATGGCAGGTAACAACCATCCATAACACCATTTCTAGGGAATTCAATGCCCTCTTTGGACCTCCATGGCCATTGCATGACACAGGTGCACTTATATACATGCAGGCAATACACTCAGACACATTAAATAAAAATAATAAAAGTAAAACATTAAAAAAAAAAAGAATGAAGTACAGCTACCTAGTGTAGCCAGAAAACATTATGTTAAATTAAAGAAGCACACACCATGATTCCTTTGATATAAAATATCTAGAATGGGTAAATTCAGAGACAGAAATAGATGAAAACCTCCAGGGCTAGAAGGAGAATTAAGGAATGACTGCTGATGGTCATACTACTGTTTTCACAGGGATCAAAATACCCTAAAACTACAGTGGCAAAGCCTGCACAACTTATAAATATACTAAAACCACTGCATTCTATAATTAAAAATAAAAACGAAAATGGGTAGAAGTGGATGACAGATGTATTAAGTTCAGTGGCCGCAATTACCCATTTGGACGGGAACAGGGGGCTGGAGCAGGGAGGGAGCTGAGGTTTTGCCTGGTCTAGAGGTTTCTAGTAGCCCAGAGTCACTGGGCCAGCTAGATCTCCAGCTTAGTGTAAAGTTACTGCCTGTACTGGATAGCTTTAGTGTCAATTTGACACACCTGGGTTGAGGGCACCTCAATTGGGGAATTGTCTCTATTGGACTGGCTTCTGGCCATGTCTGAGGGGCATCTTCTTGATTGTTGAGTGATGTGGGAGGGCCCAGCCCACTGTGGGTGGTACCACCCCTCGGCAGGTGGGCCTGTGTTGCATAAGAAAGCAGGCTGAGCAGGGGCCAGGGGAGCAAGCAAGTAAGCAGTGTTCCTCCATGGCCTGTGTTCCAGTTCCTGCCTCCAGGTTCCGGCCCTGAGTTCCTACCTTGGGCTCCCTGATGAACTGTGACCCGGGAGATGTAAGATAAATAAACCCTTTCCTCCCCAAGTTGGTAGTGGTCAGTGTTTTGTCACAGCAATGAAGAACAAACTAGGACACTGCCTAACTTCTGGACACTCAATTCTGTTTCAAGAATCCTTTATATAGTCGGGCATGGTGATACACACATTTAATCCAAGTACAGGCAGATCTTTGTAAGATCAAGGCCAGCCTGTGTCTACATAGTGTGCATAGTGAGTTCCAGGTCAGCCAGGACTAACAGGGAGAACCTGTCTCAAAAAAAAAAAAAAAAAAAAAAAAAAAAATCCTTTACCTTTATATACAGAAAGCCTGAAATACAAATTCCTTTCTGAAGGAAGAGCTGAGGTCTTTAATTTTAAAAAAATATTTTATTTTTGGGGCTGGAGAGTTGGCTCAGCGGTTAAGAGCACTGACTGCTCTTGCAGAGGACCCGAGTTCGATTCCCAGCACCCACATGGCAGCTATGAACTATCCTGACTCCAGTTCCGGGAAATCCGAAGCCCTCTTCTGACTTCCGTGGCATTGCACGACACGGGTGCACTCACATACATGCAGGCAATACACTCATACACATAAAAGAAAAATAATAAAATATTTTTAAAAAATTTTGTTTGTGGACACCAGTGTCACAATGTGCATGTAAAGGTCTGAGGATAACCTTCAGGGTGGGGAGGGGACTGGTTCTAGCCTTCCACAGAGTTAGTCCTGGGAATTGAATGCAGGTTGTTGGACTTGATGGCAAGTGCCTTTACCTACTGAGCCATCTTGCTGGCCTCAGGAAGTCTTTATTACCCATTCACATTTTTTGTTTATTTCTGGCTTGTTTTTTGTTTCTGCTTGTTTTTGAGATAAGGTCTCCTGTAGCCCAAGCTGGTCTCGAAATTGCTATGTAGCCAAGGCTGGCCTTAAGTTCTGATCCTCCTTGAGTCTACCTCCCAAGTCCTGGGATTACAAGTGTAACACCATGCCAGGCTTTTGTGGTTGTTGGTCTCACCCTGTAGTCTAGGTAGGTCTTGAACTCAGGGCAGTTTTCCGGCCTCAGCCCACTCAGTGCTGGATTCCGGGCATGTGCCCCCACACTCTCAGTTACCGATGGTTAATTGTACATCAATGGCAGGTGGCAGTTCCTAGCATAAATAACACTTCCTTCAGCATTGACAGGGGGGTGGGATCTGAGCAGTGGTATACTGATGAGCCAGTTCTCAGGGAATTAAAGCAGAAACCTTTTTGATGTTTAGTGTTTTCTGATTACTGTGGTGTGCATTAGGTTCCACTGTGATCAATTTCCAGTGACCAATGCAAAGTTTCTTAATGTGGAGTTGGACAGAGATGGGCACACTGGGCTCAGAATGGCCTATCTGTGCTGGATCCAGCCCACCACTGCCACTGTACAGCTTCCTCATGGACAAAGATTCCCAGCCCAGGCCCTGGTTACCTGGGCAGCAACCATGTGCTCTGCATCCTCCTTTTTGCTGGTCGCAGGGTAGAACACGATGTTGTCGATGGTCTGTATCAGTTCCAGCTGAACCACACACTTGATAAGGAGGCTGGCAAACAGTTTCTGATCTATATTAGATGATAAAGATTAACCCTAACAATGACTCAGCCAGGATCCAGCAAATGTTCACTGAGTTCCCACACAGTGCCTATGGCATGATTGTTGGTGCTGTGGTATAGCAATGAACTGGGCGAAACCTCCTGCTCCCACAGCACTGGCAGACAACAGGTAAGATTTAAGTGTAAGATACAGTATATCAACTGGTATTGACTTAGGGTGGAGAGAGGAATTAACAGGGTTGGGTTGTAGGTTTAAATAAGATGGGCAGGAAATGTCTCTCCAAAATACGACTGTTAAAAGCAACAAAAGAAGAAAAGGAGAAAAGTAAAAGAAGTTAAGGAAAATCGTAAAGATGAAAAGAAAAAGACAAGTTTGTGCAAGGTTCTGAAGAAGGTGCGAGAATCAGCTGTGTAGATCCCAAGTCCTCCATCAAGTTTTGCTGTTAGCCCGTGGGCCACTCCTTTGCAATAACCTGAACTGTGCTCTAACCACAGGAGGTGGATGCTTATGCCACCAGCCTCTGAGGAGCTGCTCTCTCAGTCTGGGTTGGGGTCATGAGGAGCTCTTTTAAGTTCTTAGTTTCAGGCCTTTTTTGTTCCACCCTAGAAGTAGTGCTGCCCTTTGCACCTTCTACTTCTGAAGCCAGAATGCTTCCTCCCCCATTTAAAAAAAAAATATTTTATTTATTTTTATGTGTATGCATGTATTGCCTGCGTGTAGGTAAGTACACCTGTGTCGTGCAATGCCCTTGGAGGACAGAAGAAGCTGTCGGATCCCCTGGAACTGGAGTTACGGACAGTTGTTAGCTGCCATGTAGGTGCTGGGATTCGAACCTGAGTCTTCTGCAAGAACAGTCAGTGTTCTTAACCACTGAGCCATCTCCCCAGCCCCCTTTTCCCTGTCTTTTGAGACAAGGTCTCCCTGTCACCCCAGCTGGCCTAAAAGTATGTATACTAGGCTAGCCTTGAACTCACAGAGACCTGGTCTGCCTCCACCTCCTGAGTGCTGGGATTAAAGGCATGCACCACCACGCCCAGCTGAGAGTGCCACACTCAGCTGAGAGTGTTCTTTAGAGTTCTAGGTTTGATCCCCAGGGGTGTGTGGGGGTGCTGGTTTAACCATGTAGTGGTTAGAAACCTTTGACTGGCTACAATTCTTTATTCTGAATCTTCCCTGTTCACATCTACAGTGCAGTTTCTACCCACTGCCCACTGTCCACTGTCCACAGACTGACTCCATCCACCCCCACGGTCTTCATCTCTAGAGGCTCTGGGGTGGCTCATACTAAGCATCTCACAAATGTTGGCTGATGGTAAAAGTAGAGATTTCTTCCTGATGTATTATAGAATTAAAATGTTGGAAAAGTTAAATATAAGCTTTAGTGATTTGATCATCATGGTTGTAAAAATATATAACCATGTAATAATTCTTGTATTCGTGGAATGCTTTACCTTTAGAAGGGCTGGGGATTCAGTTCAGTGGTAGAATGCTTATGTAGCATGTGTGAAACCCTGGATTTCATCTCCAATACCCCTTAAAATAGTTTTAACTTAAAAAGTGGGAGAAAGAACAAACTCTTCACTGAGGAGCAGCAAGGCCTGGACCCAAGCACCTCTCCCAAATATAGGCACCTTGATGCCCTGACTGGCTCACTATGAAAGGAATTTATACTTGACTCCCTCTACCTAACACCTTGTCTGTTGAAGAAAAACCAGACATCCTTCTGCCCCACCTACGGCTGCAAGAGGGGAACTGGCAATGAGAAGTTACTAAATGACAATGCTGAGGTCCCAGCAAGGGGCCTTTTCAATGGATTTCAAGGTGACAGGGATCACACAAAGCTTTAGTCTGAAGTTAACTTCATTGCTCATCCCCTTCCTCTCACCAGCCTAGCATGTGGAGGATGAATGATAGGACACACCACTTTAGAAAGAAGATTTTCAAATTCTGATTCCTCAGTCTGTCAAAAGTGCATCTGGATCCCTACTCCTTACTGGCAAATTAAAGTGCCTGTCTACACCCTGGCCACTCAGATGCAAAGTAGGGTCTCTTCAAAGGATAGTAGAAGGATTCAATGAGATCACACACAAGAAACAGGATAATGCCTGCCTGACATCTCAGGTGTTAAAGCTACTTTTCAAAATAAGAGAGTAAAACACACCATAAGTAACATTAAGAGACAAGTGGATAAAAGTAATTTGGGGAACTGGAGAGATAGCTTAGTGGTTAAAAGCACGGACTGCTCTTACAGAGGACCCGGGTTCGATTCCCAGCACCCACATGGCGGCTATGAACCGTCCTTAACTCCAGTTCCAGGGGAATCTGAAACTCTCTTCTGACCTCTGTGGCACAGGTGTACTCACATACATGTAGGCAATACCGTCATACACATTAAAAAAAAAAAAAAGTAATGTGGAAATTCATCCAGAAAAAGGATGTACATAAGAGGTTCTGTCAGACAAAGAAGAACTAACAGTCACTGGGAAATGAGTAGATTATAAAGGGAGTTCACAGAAAGTAAGAGGTGGCTCTTAAATAAACAGAAAACCATTCAATTTCAATCATAATTAGAAAACTCGAAATTATAATTACTCCAGAGACACCAAACATTATCCAGATCACAAAAACAAGTTCAACCTTACTGGAAACATCTGTCAAAATACCAAATGTTCTTAGGAAATTTTCTAATTAATGATGTTATGTCATACAGAACAGCATGCAAGGTTAATAGTACAAACGAAATAATAAAATAATAGGAATGTCTATTATTAGGGGCCCATTTAAACAAAGATGCATCAGTGTATTGGGATAACAGACCTTAATAAGAATGTGAGGGGTTGGAGAGATGGCTCAGTGGTTAAGAACACTGACTGTTCTTGCAGAAGACCTGGGTTCGAATCACAGCACCCACATGGCAGCTAACAACTGTCCATAACTCCAGTTCCAGGGGATCCGACAGCCTCTTCTGTCTTCCACGGGCATTGCACAACATGGGTGCACTTATCTACATGCAGGCAATACACGTATACACATAAAATAAAATATTTAAAGAAAGAAAGAACATGAAAACTAACTTCATGTACTGACATTGTGAAAAGGGAACACACACACATAGCACTCCACAACTGGCATAAAAAGGATAGGGGGACAATGTATGGGGTACAGAATGGCAATGCATATGTGCGTGTGTTTGCTGGCGGATGGATAAAATGGCTCGAGAGACGCCTGAGAAAGTCTGGCAACACCGCTGACGGGAAAGAGAACAAGCGGGGAGAGAGGCTTTTCTGTTTGCCCTTTTGTGCTCTGTAGATATTTGAATCACTTAAATGTGCTATTTCAAATAAATACAAAATACACATCCCAAAGGGTCTTACTTGCATATGGTCCACCCTTCCAGCTGTCATCAGTTGGGATGGAGAACTGGCTCTGGCCTCTCTCAGAGGCATTTCTGTCTATGCTGCTTAAAGACTGGCGGTCCAGATCCACATCCTAAATGTAAACCAGAGAAAAATCACGAAGTTCACTTCTCATTGGTGCCCAGCAGAGGTGTGACTCTTTAATACCAACAGCCCATCTTAAAGGTAATTAAAACATCATATTCTCCTAGTCCAGCTCAGGGCATTTCTCAACACTCTGCAATGGTGAGCGTGACAGAGTTTTAATTATAATGGTCAGGTCCAAAAACAAATAGACGCTGGAGCTTGTTTTCTTCTTTTTTATTATTTAAATATATTTTATTTATTATTTTAATTTTATTTTATTGAGACAGGGTCTCCCTTTAGCCCCAGCTAGCCTGGATTTGCTATGGAGACCAGGCTGGCCTCCAACTCTCAAAAATCCGCCTGCCTCTGCCTCCTAAGTGCTGGGATTAAAGATGCATACTACACCTGGCTTATTATTTTTATGTGTATGGGTGTATTGTCTAAATGCATGTAAGTGTACCTGTGTCATACAATGCCTAAGGAGGACAAAGGAGGGCATTGGATCCCCTAGAACTGGAGTTATGGAGGGGAACTAGCTGCCATGTGGGTGCTAGGAATCAAAACAAGGTCCTCTCCAAGAGCAGCCAGTTTTCTTTTTTTAAATAAATCTTTTTAAAAAAATACTCTATTATTACTTATTTTATTTATTATTTTTATTTTATGTGTATGAGTTTTATGCCTACATGTAGGTAAGTGCATCCATGTCGTGCAATGCCCAAGAAGGACAGACGAGCAGGCAGTGTCCTTAATTCCTTAATCTCCAAGCCAACTCCCTAGCCCCTTGTTCTTCTTATTTTTTTTATTTATTTATTTATTTTTTTTTTGTCTTTTTGAAACAGGGTCTCCCTGCCACTCTAGCTGGCCTGGAACTTTCTGTGTAGACCAGGCTGGCCTTGATCTCACAGAGATCTATCTGCCTCTGCCTCCTGAGTGCTGGGATCAAAGATGTGTGCCACCATGCCTGGCTTAAATAGGGTTTTTTTATATGGCTTTATTTCCTAGTGAGCAGGGATGGAAATGAAAAGGAGAGCTGCACCCAGGAGCTGCTTCCAACAGGAAATCTGGTCCCAGAAGAATTAGAAAACTTGTAATCAGAAGCAGCCCTACAAGGCGATTCTCAAAGAAAGAACATTAAAGACATAGAAAAATGCTCAGAGCTATGTGCCATTTTTAGCTGCGGTGAGACCACTGAGCGTGCAGACACAAAGGAAAAGCAAGAGGTGTAAACTCTTTTTTCCTGGGTAAAAAGACTTTTTACATTTTTTATACAATTTTTTTGTTTTGTTTTTTCAGATAAGGTCTCACTCTGTAGCCATAGCTGGCCTGGAACTCCAGACCAGGGTGGCCTCAAACTCAGCCTGCCTCTGCCTCCTGGCCAGATCTTGTAAACTCTTTTATTGACTTCCCAATGAAAACAGTACAAACCATATAGGCTGACCAATTCTTAAAAATTACATTTTATTTACTTTGTGTGTATATGAGGGGATGGGGGGAGTATGCATGCCATGATGCTCCTGTGGTCAGAGGACAACTTGCGGGAGTCATTTCTCTCCTTCTACTATGTAGGTCCCAGGGCCTGAATTCAGGCTTGGTGGCAAGCACCTTTATCCACTAGGCCATCTTGCTGGCCCAGGCTGAGTTGAACGTTAAGACATGAGAAGAGAGGAAAGAAGAAAAGAAGACAGCAGAATTCCTACCAAATGCTTTTCTGATGTCTCTTCCTCCACTCCCGCAGGTTTCCACGTCAGCAAACTTAGGGAACAGGAGAGAAAGAAAAGATTAACATAAGTTGCATGTAGGATCATGAACACATCCTGTGGACACATGAACTGGCCTCAGCACTTACACATGTGGGATGGTGGTTTTGAAAATATCCAGCATACAGGTGCAGGTTTCATCCCAGACAACAGGGCTGAACTTCTCTCCATTGGATATCACTAAGTTTTCTAAGCAATTTGTACCTGAGCGAGCCAACTGTTCATTATCTGCAAAACCAAACAGCATCTGTCATTAAAACTCTAACTGTTGTCTTGGTCAACTGGGTCCCAGGTGTTTTCTGCTGTGATACTGTGACAGAGGGACTGCAGTTGGAGGATGTGCTGGATAGCTTTAGTGTCAATTTGACACACCTGGGTTGAGGGAGCCTCAACTGGGGAATTGCCTCTATTGGACTGGCCTGTGGCTATGTCCATGGGGCATCATCTTGATTGTTGAGTGATGTGGGAGGGCCCAGCCCACTGTGGGTGGTGTCATCCCTGGGCAAGTGGGCCTGTGTTGCATAAGAAAGCAGGCTGAGCCAGGGGAGGAAGTCAGTAAGCAGTGTTCCTCCATGGCCTGTGCTCCAGCTCCTGCCTCCAGGTTCCTACCTTGAGTTCCTACCTTGGGCTCCCTGATGAACTGTGACCCGGGAGATGTAAGATAAATAAACCCTTTCCTCTCCAAGTTGGTAGTGGTCAGAGTGTTTTGTCACAGCAATGAAAAAACTAGGACAGAAACTGGTACCAGGAGTGGGGTACCTCTGTGACAGACCTGACCCAGTTGTTTTTGGGAGGATGTTTGGAACTTTGGGCTGGAAAAGCCATTGAGTGCCTAGAGTTTGTTGCTTTGGAGCTTGGAACAGTTATGCTGAAAGAATTGTGAACAATGGAGTCCTGGCTTGTGAAGCTTCAAAGGGAAGCAGAGGCTATCAAGGCTGTTTGTGTGATATTTTGAATTGAGAATCTGTGGGTTCTAGTCAGCTAGAGCTGAAGAATCAGCTGTGATTAAGAAGAGGCCAGAACCTGAAGAAATACTTTGCTTTACTGGGACAACTGATGCTGGTTAGCAGGGGCTGAAAACTTAGCTGTAAGTAACAAGAGACCAGCATCACTGTGGTGGAGTCTTCTGGGAGGTGTTTCCTCAGGGTCAGCACACAGAGGGGACCCATTCCTCTATCTCAACCTGGAAGCAAGACTTGGTAATGTGTAAGAGTCTCCTGCATGTTTCTGGTGTTGAAAGCATGAAGGGGTCACAGAGAGCAGCTGAGGCTTGGCACTCTGAGAGGCCAGGAAAGGCCATATATGAAAGTGCAGCTTCAGTTGCAGCGAAGGCACTAGGATTGAAGGGGTCATGGAGAGACTCTGAGGCTTTGCACCCCGAGAGGCAAGAAGAGGCCATTGGTGAAGGTGTAGCCTCAGTTTCAGTGGAGACCTCAGCTTTTTGGAGATGCTGGGACCATGGGATGACCATGGTTTCAGCTAGTTTTGCTGGATGGAAGAAGATCAGAGTTTTGTCACTTTAAGTGGCTCACATAGGAAGGGCTAGAAGATAAGGGGAAATAGCAGACCAGGGCTCTCTAAAGTTCTAGCTAGCACACTTCTAGTTCTTGCTGTCCGAACACTATCAACTGTTGCTTATTTTAAAATTAAGTCAAGTACTGAAAAATCTAAAATGAATTTAACTTTGCTCCAGGGTCAAAATGTGACTCAGGACTCATGGCTCCCTGGTCTATATCTGCTACACATTAATTGTTTTTGGTTTTTTTTTTGGTCTTTTTGAGACAGGGTCTCCCTGTAGCCCTAGCTGGTCTGTATGTAGACCAGGATGGCCTGGAACTTAGAGATCCTCCTGCCTTTGCTTCCTGAGTCTGGGACTCACAGTATGTGCCACCACACCCAGATGACACTAACCTTTTTAAAATGTGCTTTATAAACTGACTGGGTGTGGGCTACTGAATTAAATCGTACCTAGTACCCGTCTGCATTATATCCATACTTTTATATAATAAAAATTAGCCTCTCATTAAGACTACATGAGAAATGTTATGCCTAGTGACTTAGAGAATACCTTGTTTCACACACCACTGCAGCTGTGCAAACACATCAGAGAGAAGCACTTCATTTAAAGCTTCATAAAACTGGGTAAATACATCACAGATAGCATAAAGTGCATGATTGCAGGTTGTTGTCATCCACTCGGATTTCTGAAAAAACAATAAAAATTTGTTTTTTTGTTTTTGTCTTTTTTGAGACAGGGTCTCCCTGTAGCCCCAGCTGTCCTGGAACTCACTATGTAGACCAGGCTGGCCTCGAACTCACAAAGATCCACCTGCCTCTGCCTCCCGAGTGCTATGATTAAAGAGTGCTGTGATTAAAGGCGTGCGCCACCACGCCCGGCCTACTAGAGCAGATTTCTAATAGCACAAAAGAATACCCATCTTGCTACAGATAGTGTTTTATAAAAATCATATTTTTGGCCTGCCTCTGCCTCCTGAGTGTTGGGATTAAAGGCGTGTGCCACCACGCCCGGCCAAAAATATGATCTATAACCAGCGCCATGTAACAAGGTGGATATCCTGCACACACCTGTAATGCCAGCTCTGGGGGGGGGTGGGGGGGTGGGATGGGACGGTGGAGACAAAAGGATCACTGGGGCTTGCCTCATGGAGAAAATTCAAGTACCAGGTTCAGGGAAAGACCCTACTTCAAAGTAATAGGTGGAGTGATGGAGGAGGGCACTGCAATATCCAGTTCTGGTCTCTGCATACATATGTGCATGCACATACACATACATTAATAAATTCTTTTAAAATATGATTGCAAGGAGCTGGGCTGGAGAAATGTCAGCTCAGAGATTAAAAGCACTGGCTGCTCTTACAGAGGACCTGGGTTTGGTTCTTAGCACTCATATGGTGGCTAACAACCACCCATAACTGTAGTTCCAGGAGAAAGCCATGCTGAAAAAAAAAGGTATCTTGTACTAAGACTCACATATAGCAGTAGTGTTGCTTGTGAAAGTCTGGAGTTATGGGGTGTTTATATCTTTCTCTTTTTAAAGTCTATTTTCTGATTCTTTGGTTTGGTTTGGGTTTTTCTGAGACAGGGTCTCACTGTAGCTCCAGCTGGCCTGGAACTCACTGTGTAGACCAGGCTGGCCTCCATCTCACAGAGATCAGCCTGCCTCTTT